GCAGCAGAACGGACCGTTGCCGCCAAAGAGCAGCCCGACCACCTTGCCCGCGAGGACGTCCTCCGGCACGTACTCCTTGCTGCGGCACGACCCAGGGCTTCTCGCAGACGGCCCCTGGAGGCGACCTCGACAGACCTGGACAGGCCCCCGAGCAGCCACAGAAGGCTTCCACCCTGACATCCTCTCGTTGTCAAACATTTTGTGTTACTTTCTATGTGTATATATATATGTATACCTATATATATATATATGTATATATACACATATATATATATATATGTTCCCTACCTAGGCTCTGCCTAGAGGGTTCTTACTCTATTAGCTTAAAGGGGCCCGGCAGTGAGCTTCGCCCCAGGCGGTTCCCCCGGTCCCCTGGGAGCCAAGCAAAAGCAACAGCAAGGTAAAAGCAGACGCGCGGTTCCCCCAGTTGCGCTCCCTGGGTGCCAAGCAAAAGCAAAAGCAAAGGCAAAAGTGAAGGCAAAATCGAAGGCAAAGCAAAAGCATAGCATAGCGCAGCATAGCATAGCATAGCATAGCATAGCATAGCATAGCATAACGCAGCATAGCATAGCGCAGCATAGCATAGCATAGCATAGCATAGCATAGCATAGCATAGCATAGAATAGCATAGCATAGCATAGCATAGCCTAGCCCAGCATAGCATTGCGCAGCATAGCATAGCATAGCATAGCATAGCATAGCATAGCATAGCATAACAGAGCAGAGCAGAGCAGAGCAGAGCAGAGCAGAGCATAGCATAGCGCAGCACAGCATCCTAGAGGCTCCAACTCCTAGGTAGGGTCGCACTGGGATAATTCTGCTTTTTTACACCCGCAAAAGACGCTACCCTGGAAAACCCGAGGGTTGGGGGAGAGCGCGGGGAGCGCTGCGCGTTGGGTAGGCGCGCGCCCGCGGGGGGGGGCGAGCGGCGCACTCGTCGCTCGCCGCTCCCCGCGGGAGCGCGCGGGTGCAGCGACACCCCGCGCCCCACCCCAACCAAAGGAGCGGCGAAGGGTGAGGGGAAACAAAAGCCGCCACGGCGGCCCGCGACGCGCGCACCGAGGGCGCCAGCCTCGCGTTCGGCCGACAAGCGCCCTCGGGGCAGCGCGCGCGACGCGGGGGTATATTTACCCTCCCCCCACCGCAGGGAGACGTGGACAAAGAACACGAACAAGACGAGGAACACGAAGTCCATGAAGACCTGAGGCGAGCCACCCCAAACGCACCCCCCAACCGACCCAACCCGCCCCACCACAGGCACCGCGGCGAACCGCGGCGCCAGCGGCGGGGCGGCAGGGGTAGAAGGTTCCCAGGTCCGCGTTTTTGTGACAACGAACAAAACTGCGTTGTGTTCTCGCCCACAAAAGACGCTACCCTGGAAAACCCGAGGGTTGGGGGAGAGCGCGGGGAGCGCTGCGCGTTGGGTAGGCACGCGCCCGCGGGGGGGGGCGAGCGGCGCACTCGTCGCTCGCCGCTCCCCGCGGGAGCGCGCGGGTGCAGCGACACCCAAGGCCCTTGCTGCACCTGCGCGCGAGGAAAACCCAACGCTGCTCTCGCCGAAGGTGTTCTATAGGCTCACAGCCACCTCAGTCCTTGTCTTCGTCGCTGGACGAAGCGCCGCCGTGCGCTTCCCTGACGGCGCTGTCCTCAAGCGCATCCCTGTCTAAATATGACAGGAAGGCGGCGGACCGCCAATCTCCGGCGCGAAGGATGTCGGCCAGCCGCGAGCCACGCACCGCCATGTCTTGGGCGTGGCCCCGACGAAAATCGCGGGTGCGATAGGCATCGTGCCGCGGCACCCCGAGCTCTTGCAGGGCCGCTCTCAACGCCGATAGGACAGCGTCCGGGCGGAAACCCGCAAAAGGCTGCTGGGCCGCGCTGTCGGCGCAGAATTTCCCCAGCGCGTGCACGGGGCACGTTGATGGACAGCGCGCGCACCAGCACGTGCGCGTCATCGTGAGCGGCGTGGCGCGATTCTTGCGCCAAAGCAACGTCAGCGAGATCGAGCCGTCATGCAGGCGTAGGCAGCTCTTCGGCTCGACCGCCCGCGGCGGATCGCCGTCCCGAGCGACGTGCATCGGCAGTGCTTCCGACGGCAATCGCAACAGGAATATGTACGCCGTCAAGAAAAGCATCTGCAGCTCGCGCCCCGATTGGTGGCGTTCGAGATGCTTCAGTAATCTGGCGAGGAGCGCCTCCCGAATAAACATCTTGGGCCTGGCCTGCCAAGTGTTTCGCGCTTGCACCGCGCGAGCCGCGCGCTCGACTGCCGGGTCGCTCAGCGCGTCCAGCGGGACGCGCAACAGGATGCAGACTAATCTGACGTGCGAAATATAGTTGTCGAATGTTCCTTTACAACGGAAGCATGTGCTCCACAATGCAAGGCCCTCGGGCGACGGCGGAATCACTTCCCCCGCGTCGCAGCCGAGCACGGTCATGGCGAAAGTCGCCCAGCAGCGGAAGGCGCTGACTACGCTGGGCCACGTTTTCGGGCAGCTGCCCAGAATCGCGGCGACCCGAGCCGAATTCGACCATTCGCTGAAGCTTCGCTGGGCGAGGCCCTGCCGCAGGGCCTCGACTTCACGGCGGGGGCCCGCGCGCGGCTCGATGGTGCACTGGCGCGCTATGCTGACGGCCAGCTCAAGGTCCCGCACAGCACCGCAAGCCGCCGAAAGCTCATCGCACTTGGCAGCTCGCCGCCTGGCAGGGCGACTGCGGCTGCGGCACTCGCGCTGATGCACGTCGGGTGCAGGCGGAGGTTCGTCCTTTGCGCCGCGCACGACGGCAGATGGCTTCTTCGCTTCGTTAATTAACTCTGACAGCGCTACGCGCAGGGCGTCAGGGCTGACGCCTCGTTCCCCTTCTGCGGCAGACACCGGTTCGAACCAATCGACGCGCGCTAGCTGCAGATCTCTGAGATGCGTTATGTCCTGGCGCCGCAGCAACTCGATCAACGCAAAGGTAACCATGGGTGAAAGCTCTGGCAGGACGCCGCGGACCTCATGAAACAACGTCATGGCTTATCGCTCGACTGAGCGCCCGTCGCTGGCTGCGCTGGGACCGCGCGCTGACGCATAGGACAACCGACCAGGGGCCCATCGATGGGGCCGGTTAACGACGCAGCTTCCACTGTCGGCTTTTGGCATCAACTCGCGCGGGCCGCCCTCGCAAGGCACGCGCGAGGCATGGCTCGCAACGGGCTCGACGCGGGACAGCGGCTCACTCGCCTTCGTTGCTTCGTGCCGCCTTCGATGCGCAACGGCGCTCGCGGGGCGCGACGACGCGCGACGGCGCGCTCCCGCCGGCAGAGCGCGGGCCAGAAACGTCTCCGGTGCGAAGAACTCAGCCGCGCGTAAGCGCGGCGTCACGAAGTTCGCCCCAAGAACACGTAGCAACTCGTACTCCTCCCGCGACGGAAGGTCGGCGATGTTCTCTGCTGATGGGACCCGCGCAAACCACGGCGAACACCGGGTGCGTGCGATGAGGAACCACATGGCGTGAATGATGCGGGAGTGGTCCCAAGCGGAAGCGCGACCGCTCCGCACTGCCCCTTCTGCGCCCACATTGTCGGACCAAATCACCACTCGGCGGTCCGCCAGCAGTTCACTAAAGGTAGCTAATCCCAGCGCTATAGCGAGCAGTTCTAACGCCATAATCTGAGAGTCCCGGCGCGGCGCCAAGTCCTCCAGCAGCTCCTGGTCTGGAGGGGCGTCGGACCAGAAGGCGCGACCATCGACGAACAGCACGGCGGCGAGCCGTGGATCGGACCCGCCCCTTGCGTCAGCGAAGCAAGTGCACTTCTTGCCGTTCCAGCTGCGCCCACGGCTTGGACTGATGGATGCCGAGGGCCAGCACCTCCGCCCACCATGACAGCGCCAAGTTGAGCGGGGCGCGAACGACACCCCGTCGCGCATTCTGCTGCGCGAACAGGGGCTGCAACATCGCACGCCCTAGCCGCTCGAAGCAATGTTGACCTGCCCAGCTGAGAGCGCCGGCCAGCTTGCTGGCTTGGCCGGCACATAGTGTCCCGCAGTCGAGCGCTTGCTTGATCAAGAAAAGCCACTTGCGCACCTTCTTGGGCGCGGGAAACAAGTTGATCCCGCTGAGAGAAAAGGACACATGCAGGCCCAAAATCTCCAGCTCGTCGCCACATTCCAGCTTCTTATCGGAAACCGCTCCTGGACCTAGGAGCAGGCGCACTAGTCTGGCCAGCGATGCCATGGTATGCTCTTTAGTTGCGGGTGCGCACGGCCCAAAGAAATCGTCCACGTATCGGAGGGTGGGAATCTTTAAGAGCTTGCGGGCGAGGTGCGCCAAGGCAGCTCCGACTCGGTCCCACCCAAAGACGGCAGCCAGGGCGCCGAACATCAACGCCAGGTGACCAGTGACCCAAATGTCTCCGTCGTGCAAATACGTGCTGTAAGCTGCCCACCTGTGGCAAGGCCGACATCGACACCGCAAACGCCGGGTTCCTCTGGAACCCCGACACGAGCCCCCAGGTCGATGCTTTTAACGGGGGGGGGCACCCGGAAATCCCGAGCCTGTGTTCAGGAGCGATAGGCACACGCCGGTAAGCGGAGTCGATGTCAGCCTTAAACAGTGCCGGTGCGTGCCCGCGCAGACCGTGATAGCAGCGCAGGGCGTCCACCAAAACGTCAGCCCCGTCCAGCAACAACCTCTCGGCGGGCTGGCACGCCGAGTTGATGCCCCCTCTCGATTCATCGTCTACTACGCGAACCTTGGGCGCGCCATCCGGCTTGACGCCCTGCACAATGGAGAAACGCGGGGACAGACGCACCCTGCCCAAGTCCGCCTTGGCCAGCACAACCGGAGCGGTCATCCGCGACAGAGACGCATCGGCGAGCGCGCCCTCGTGGATCGCAGACGAGTTCACGTCCTCTCGCAAGGAAGACAAAATGGCTCTATTGTGCACGGGGGAGGAGGTCAGCAACTCCTCGGACGACGTGGGCTCCGGGAATTTCTTCGCGGGCCCTCTGCCCGCATGGGGCAGCTTTCCGAGCAAGGGCGCGCCGTAGCGGAACAGATCAGCCGCGGCCGTGTCATCGTAGCTCGTCATGTCGGAAACAAAAGCCGCCACGGCGGCCCGCGACGCGCGCACCGAGGGCGCCAGCCTCGCGTTCGGCCGACAAGCGCCCTCGGGGCAGCGCGCGCGACGCGGGGGTATATTTACCCTCCCCCCACCGCAGGGAGACGTGGACAAAGAACACGAACAAGACGAGGAACACGAAGTCCATGAAGACCTGAGGCGAGCCACCCCAAACGCACCCCCCAACCGACCCAACCCGCCCCACCACAGGCACCGCGGCGAACCGCGGCGCCAGCGGCGGGGCGGCAGGGGTAGAAGGTTCCCAGGTCCGCGTTTTTGTGACAACGAACAAAACTGCGTTGTGTTCTCGCCAAAAAACGGTGCTTGCCGTTGTCAGAGACCCGGGGCCCTGGCCGGGCCCCGTGACCGCCAGCCGAGAAAGCTCGGGCTGCGAAGAGAGCTGGCCCCGGGGCAGGGGCCCAGACTAGGGGACCAAGACATAAATATAACAACTCGGAGGTCCGCGCGGATTTCTCGGATCCGCGCTGGACCCCCCTCCCTGGCGCGCGGAGCGCGCCAGGGGCGGCGCCGGAGGCGCCGCCAGGGGGGTCCAGCGCCGATCCGAGAAATCCGCGCGGACCTCCGAGTTGTTATGTTGATGCCACTTTTTGTTCCCCTATGATTGGAGAGGACACGCGAGAGGACACAAGACCCTTTCGAGGGCCACATCGCCACAGGAAGGTACGAAGCATGGGTCGCGAGGCACAGGACACACGGGTACCCTTGATCTGGCAGGGTCGACCTACTAATCCGGGCCGCCTGTAACCTGTTCGAGGCGCCCGATGTCCAGAGGGAGGCGGCGCCAGGGAGCTGAGAAAGCCCAGGGCTACGGTGTGGGAGCGTCTGCTCCGCGTGCCGCGGCCGCGGCCCGGGCGACACGCTGTGCCCCGCGAGCGGAGGGCGCGTCGCGCTCCGCTCCGCGTGGCGGAAGGCTGGGGAAGGCTCGGGGACGCGGACGCTTGGGCGTTGGGGCGTGGCTGCCGCGCCGAGGCGTGGCTGGCCAGACCCGGCGGCGCGGCACACGAAGAAAAAGTGCCCGACCGCACTCGGGCCTTCTGACGTCGACCCCCGGCTCTCGGGCCACAGCTCGACTCCCCGGCGGCCGTGCGGGAGGATCTGGGCGCCCCCATGGCACGCCCGCGGCGAGGCGCAGCTGCTGGAGAGATCTCGGGGCTGGAACACCGCCGAGCGATCGCGAAGACGTTCGAAGACCTCGAACCTCGAAGAAACATCCAAAAGCGCTCTTGAGCAAACGTTCCTGGCCCTACCACGGGGGGCCTGCGAGGCCCGTCGGGGGGCCGCCTCCCGAGGCAGCCTGTGCCCAACCCTGCGCCGGCCGCTCCTTGGAGCCGCCCCTGTACGTGACGAAGCTGCGGGGGGGCGCCTCCGTGTCCTGCGAGGGGGCCCACCCGAAAAGTTTTGTTTTTTTTGCGCGCTTTTGGGAGGAGAAGGAGGAAAGCAGAGGGGAATGACAGCGCGACGACCTCCACAACTGCCGCACTCGAGCACTGCATCTGCCTCCAAGAAAAAACGGCGCCCTCCCAGCAATCCCAAATCGAGGATAGGCCGGTACGCCCGAAATTGACGCGCAGCGGAAGGCCTCTACCTCGGTCCACGTACTGCTCAAAACGCTGGGGGGCGTTGTTCTTCCCCTTTTCCCATTCCCTCCCCCCTCCCACTGGTCATAGCAACCAGTTTCGCGAGCGTGTCAAAAGGCACAGCTCGACTTGCCTATGCGTCCTCTCGGGTGCACGGCCTTTGACTGACTGACTGACTCCACATCGTCGTATGGTTTACGCGGGCTGCCATATATGCTGCGTTGGGCTGATGTGGTGTTCCGCTCTGGCTGGCCGGAATCCGCAGGGTTGCAAGCAGAGGGGGAAACAACAAAGAAAAACGACCCAAGTGTTTTGAACATCAGCGAGGGGTGCCAACCCATCCACTACACTGAGGTCGGGCAGTCCTCCCACAGGCGGTTTGTGGAAGAAACATAAGACGCAGTCAGAACATACCCAGTACCAAAGCCGGGCTAACGGCGATCTTGCTTAACGGTGATGTTGGGAACCAATGTCTGGAAATTCACGAACCACACTTTCGTACGTGTGCAATCTGCAGATGAATCGAGCGAACACGACACAGCGAGTTGTAGGAAAGTGCGAGCCACGCGTTCCCTCACTACCGAAACCTACATCATCGTTACCTATATCGCCGTTAGCCCGTCCACGGCAGTAGCCGTAAACCGTCAAACGAATCGTCCCCATACGATTTGCTCGACTATTTCGGAACGCTCCTCCTGCAGAGGCACATGCCCGACTGAAACCCACAGCGCCCCTGGACTGGCCGACCCCGGACCCACGGCCTGCGCTGGGTCGACCGGCGATCGGGCTCGCATCGGCTCGCCGGCGAGTGGGCCCCGGCCAGCGCTGGTGGCTTGCCCCCCGAGAGCCTGGCGACTCAATCTTTTCGAGCTGGGCGTGTTCGCTCGACTTCGGGCCCCGCGGACCCTCACGGATCGATCCGGCTCAAAAAGTGGCACCGAAAGATGGGGTCCGGGGGTCCGGTCGTGATTTTTGTTGCCATGTTGCAGTTTTTGTTTGCAAGGTGGGATCTCAGGGTGGACCGAATCAGGTCGAATCGACATCGCGGCCCCTGCCAGTGGATCAACTCGCATCGAGTCGAACCGTAAGCGGCCCTGCCCAGCACGTCTGGCTGGATTGGCCTGGCCAGGTTTGACTTCACAGTAATCCCGGGCACCAGCATTGGCCTGCTACTCCCCGGACCGCTCCAGGGGTGCGTTCTGAACTGAATCTCGAGGCGGAGCCAGCCGTGGCAACGTGGGCCTCCCAGGAGGCCGGAGAGGGGAAAACGAGGGAAGGGTCACGGTATGGGTACCTTTCCCTCCTCCCCAGACCTCCGATGTCATGACTTGTGCACGACGTCGCCCCCAGAGGACTGGACCAATTCCCTGGGAACCGTTCTTCATCCCGAGTCGCTCTCCGACGGACCCGAGGCCCGGTAGAAGGCCCCCCGGACTGCAGAGGGTCTGGGCTGGTTGTCGGGGGCGACGACCGGGGCGCATAGCCCAGGGGCGGGCATTACACGCATTCGCCCGGGAGCCTTGTCGAAGACATAGATCATCGGTACCCCTGGATACACGTATTGCTCCCCCCTGGGCTATTCGCCCCCTGTCGTCGCCTCCGAAATTCCTAAGAATGCTTCGAATTCCAAGGAATCCTTCGGAATTCCCTGGAGTCCTTCGGAATTGCTAGGAAGCCTCAGGAATCCCTGGGAATCCTTCGGAAATCCTAGGAACCCGCAGGAATTCCTGGGAATTCCTTAGGAATCCTTAGGAAAATCCTTAGGCATCCCCCCCGAGGTGTCCGAGAGCACGTCGCTCAGCGGGACGATGCCCGGGTTCGCCTCGTGCGCCCGGCGCGCCTCGGCGCCCACGACGTGCGCCGCGGCGGGGCCCCCCGCGGCCCCCTGCGCCAGGCTGGGCGCCCGCGGCAGGGCCATGGGGCCCGCCCGGGCGTGGGCCTCCCGGCGATGCGAGCGATGCCGAGGAGAGGGCGGAGAGCAGGCAGCGAGGCGGAGGAGGAGGGAGGAGGAGGAGGAGGAGGAGGAGGAGGAGGAGGAGGAGGAGGAGGAGGAGGAAGGAGGAGGAGGAGGGAGGAGGAGGATGAGCGAGGGGAGCGAGGAGAGGAGGAGGAGGAGGAGGAGGAGGAGGAGGGAGGAGGAGGAGGAGGAGGAGGGCCACTTCCCCACGGCCGCTGCTTCGTCCCGAGCAGCTTCTGACGAGATCCCGCGGGGCCCGCCCGGGCGTGGGCCTCCCAGCGTGCGGGAAATAGTTATGTCTACATCCAGTGCGCCTTGGAGTGTCGGGCTCTCTTCCCTATCGAAGCCGGGAGGCGCACTGGACATGGAGAAAGATTTGGCCCCACGAGGTCCGATTTTTCTATCCAAATATCCAGTGCGCCTCGGCCTTGCGACACCCCTTCACAAGAAGTCCAAGACGCTCTGGACCCAGACCCCCGACGTCATGATTTTTTCATGACGTCGACCCCCAGAGGTTTGGACCCATTCCCCAGGACCGGTTTTTCATCCTGAGTCGTTTTTTGACGGCCCCGAGGCCCGGTAAGGGCCCCCAGAAGCCGAAAATGGCGAAAACCTCCCGTCGTGATTTTTTCATGACTCGAGGGGGTCTGGGGATGATATGGATATAAGCATCGCCCGCACAGCGACCCGACGCTCCGAGAGAATCGGGGCGGCTGGTGCCGGGCCGCCTCGGGTCTCCGGGGGCCCTCGCCGCGGGTCTTCTGGGAGGAGGGGGAGGAGGAGGAGGAGGAGGAGGAGGAGGAGGAGGAGGAGGGGAGGAGGAGGAGGAAGGAGGAGGAGGCAGGAGGAGGAGGGAGGTGAGGAGGAGGAGGAGGAGGAGAAGGGAGGGAGGAGGAGAAGGAGGAGGAGGAGGAGGAGGAGGAGGAGGAGGAGGGGTATCGTCAGCAGCTGCTCAGGACGAAGAAGCGGCCGTGGGGAATGTGGTCCTCCCCTCTCCTCCTCCTCCTCCTCCTCGCTCCTCCTCCTCCTCCTCCCTCCTCCTCCTCCTTCCTCCTCCCTCCTCCTCCTCCTCCTCCTCCTCCTCCTCCTCCTCCTCCTCCTCCTCCTCCTCCCCCCTACGGACCTCCCGGCCCACGCCTCGAAACAAGCAGAACGGCCGCATGTCTGGGCCCAGATCTGGGCGGCGCAAAGAGGCAATCGCGGCCCTCTGATCCTGGAGTCGCAGCTCGTCCTTCACAACGGGCACAAATGCCCCTGTGTCGGGCCCCAGCGCCATCACGGAACGGTGCGGCTCGAGAAAGGGGGTCGAAAGATGGGGCCCAGGGATCGGGTCGAGTTTTGCTCTTCGACGCTGCAATGCTGTCCGCGACGGCGGATCTCAGGGTGGGACTCCCTGGGTAGACCCTCAGATCCGAGCGGACGGCTCTTGAACGGGCTCGGCCTCTGGAAGCCAGCTCCCAGCCCTGGGACCACCCAAAGCGGATCAGGACGAGAAAAGCTGGCCCCAGGGCACGGGTCCAGGCCCCCCGGGGGCCCGCGCCACGGCAAGACTCTGCGACGCTGGGTGATCGAGGCCTTCTAGATGGGATCCGAGTATCGGCGGTGGACAAACCTCCCTTTAGTAAACCTCCCTTTGGTGAAAACGGCCTAAGACCGAAACCGACGGACCTGGACCCGCAAGAATAACGGCCGTGACGCCCTCTCGCGAACCCAAAACGCCCAATTCACTAATCGACGTGTCAGGGTAGGAGGTCTACCCACCCCCGAGAGTAGATGGGGTCGGAGGATCTCGCCGCATCGCCGATGCACTGGCTATGCATCGGCCATGCACTGGCGACGTCGGCGATGCGTCGGCGACGCCGGCGTGAAGAAACTTGGGCCCCACGTCGAGCCGCATCGCCGATGCATCGCCGATGTCTGGCGATGTCCCCTCCGACCCCATCTGTAGGAGGCCTCGAGAGGAGAGGGGGAGAGGCGGGGCGCGCCTCGAGCCCTCCCTGGAGCCGCAGCGGGCTGCGCGTCAGGGTGCCTCGCTCCTGGCCGCCTCCCCCCTGGTCCAGGGGCACCCAGCCCAGTCGGGGGTCGATGCATGCCTCCTCCTCCTCCTCCTCCTCCTCCGCCCCTCCTCCTCCTCCTCCTCCTCCTCCTCCTCCTCCTCCTCCTCCTCCTCCTCCTCCTCCTCCTCCCCCCTCCTCCTCCTCCTCCTCCTCCTCCTCCTCCTCCTCCTCCTCCTCCTCCTCCTCCTCCTCCTGGGCCAGGTCTCCACCAGGGCTCCTCGTGGTCTAGCGCTCGGGCCACGGCTCGGGCCTCCGGCGGCCGCTTGGGAGGATCCCGGGAGCCTCTCGACGCCCGAATTCGGCGAGGCGCGGCCACTGAGAGGCACCTCTCAAGGCAGGAAACCCAGACATCCAACGCATTGAAAAAATCAAGACGGAGGTTTTTCCCAATGTTCGGCCTCTAGAGGCCCTCGCCGGGCCTCGGGACCGTCAAAAAACGACTCAGGATGAGCAACCGGTCCCGGGGAAGGGGTCCAGATCTCTGGGGGTCGACGTCATGAAAAAATCATGACGTCTGAGGTCTGGGAAGCATGTGGGAGCCGCCAGAAAGAGGCCCGAAGAAGCCAGAGGACCTCGGTGCCGATGGCGCCACACCTGCATGCGATGCCTCGATTTGTCCCGTGCGCGGTCCCGGAGGTCCCGATACCCCTTCCCCGGGACAGGCTGTTCACCCTGAGTCGACTCAGGATGAAGAGCTGGTCCCAGGGCCCAGCAAGGGCCCCCAGAAGCCGAAAACACACACAAAAAAAAAAAAAAAACGTCCTGCATTTTCAACGACGCAAGCATGTCGGGGTACTGTATCCCTCCTGAGCCTTCGGTGGCAACACCTGGGAACCTCGCATGCCATCTTGCTGGCTCTTGCGGACCTACGCTGAATCGACACGAAGTCGACGCTATTCGACGCTAGATCGGGGCACGCCAACGCACTCGAACGAGGCAATTGCGAGGACACACGGGTCTCCTATGAGTTTTGGCGGCGCGCACAAGGGAGGCAGGGGGAAGGTGGAAGGCCTCTTAGAAGGAGGCTGCTTCCTAGAAGGCGCCGACCCTGCATCTACAGACAAGGCCCGCGCCATCTGAGAAGCAGGGCTGCCACAAAGAAGCCTTCCCCCCTACCCCTACCCCCCCCTGCGCGCGGCCAAGATCGACGAATCGACGATATATCGAGGCGATTCGGCGCTGGATAAGCGCACGCCAACACACTCTAACGATGGAATTGCGAGGACATCCGAGGCTCCTATGATTTTTGGCGGCGCGCACAAGAAGGCAGGGGGAGGGGGAGGGGAGAAGGCTTCTTAGAAGGAGGCTGCTTCTCAAAAGGCGCCGGCCCTACGACTACAGAGAAGGCCTGCGCCTTCTAAGAAGCAGGGGTGTTTCCGAGAAGCCTTCCCCCCTCCCCCTACTCCCCCAACTCCTCTGGGGAAGCCAAGACGTACTGATACTACTACTCCCCGGACCTCTCCGGGGGTGCGTTCTGACCAGGATTTCGAGGCGAATCCAGCGGTGGCGACGAGGGCTTCCCAGGAGGCCCAACAAGGAGGAAGACGAGGGAAGGGTAGCGGTATGGGTACATGATTCCTCCTCTGCCCCGCAGCCTGGGCATCGCGACGCCCCCTCCCCCATGCCCCCCTCTGCGCGTGGCCGAGATCTGCTGCCGACTGAACCCCCAGACCCCCGACGTCATGATTTTTTCATGACGTCGACCCCCAGAGGTTTGGACCCATTCCCCAGGACCGGTTTTTCATCCTGAATCGTTTTTTGACGGTCCCGAGGCCCGGTAGGGCCCCCCAAAGCCGCAAATATGGAAAAACCTCCCGTCGTGATTTTTTCATGACTCGAGGGGGTCTGGGGCTGGGGGCGGCCGACCGTCCGCTGGCGGGCGGCCGGCGCGTCCTCGCCGTGGTGCTCCACCACCGTGGACTTGTACCTCGAGGGGCGCTCGGGGCGCGCCGCGAGGCGGGAGAGCGCCGGCCACGGCCGGGAGCCTCTGCACACGAGGGGCAACGATAGGGGGGCGAGCAGCTGGGCACGTCTGGGGGGCGGTCCTCGACCCCTGTCCTCCTCCTCCTCCTCCTCCTCCTCCGCCTCTCCTCCTCCTCCTCCTCCTCCTCCTCCTCTCTCCTCCCCTCCTCCTCCTCCTCCTCCCTCTCCTCCTCCTCCTCCTCCTCCTCCTCCTCCTCCTCCTCCTCCTCCTCCTCCTCCTCCTCCTCCTCCTCCTCCTCCTCGACCCCGTGCTGCGGAGGCCCGCCGACGGCGACGAGCGCACCGTGCCCATCGTGGCGGAGGCCCTGCGGTCCTCCTGGGCGGCGGCGTCGGCCCCCGCGCCCCCCGCGGGGACGGGGGTGAGGGGCAGCGATAGGGGACGACTGGCACAGTGGGGTATGCATCGACCTGGCATCGGCGAGGCATCGTCGGTAGATCGGCGAAAGGCCCCCGATGGCGAAACCGCACCTTCCTGGGCGGGTTCCCCCTATGGGCGATCAGTGGGCGAGTGGGGGCCGATGCATCCCCCCTTCCCCTCTGCCTGCCCCCCCCCCCCCCCTGTCCTTAGCCTTGCCCCTGAGCACGGCGTGCCGGCGCGGCTGCCCGGGCGGCACGCTGCGCCAAGGCAGGCGGAAAGCGTGCCGCTCTGCTCCTCGGGGAGGGAGGCTCGGGAACTCCTGGGGCGCTGACGCCCGGGGGCTGCGACGGGGGTCGCGCGTCGCACCCGCGCGCGGTGGGCCAGAACCGGCAGCGCGGCACGCGATGCAGAAGTTCCCCGAGCGCAGGCACCGACACGGACCCTGGCCACGGGGGCCCCCTCCAGGCCACGGGGCCGTCAACAGACGACTGGGGTTGAAAAGCCTCTCCCAGGGCAGGGGTCCAGACTTCTGGGGAGTCACGTGGTGAAAAACGAAGGATCGAGGAGGAGGAGGAGGAGGAGGAGGAGGAGAGGAGGAGGAGAGGAGGAGGGAGGGGGAGGAGGAGAAGGCGGAGGAAGGAGGGGCAGGAGGAGGAGGGGAGGGAGGGCGGAGGAGGAGGGGAGGAGGAGGAGGAGGAGGAGGAGGAGGAGGAGGAGGAGGAGGAGGAGAGGAGGAGGAGGAGGAGAGGAGAGGAGGAGGAGAAGGAGGAGGAGGAGGAGGAGGAGGAGAGAGGAGGAGGAGGAGGAGGAGGAGGGGGGAGAGGAGGGGAGGAGGAGGAGGAGGAGGAGGAGGAGGAGGATGGAGGATGTCCAGGGTCACGACCATTCTGGGTCCGGGAGCGGTGCATGCGCCCTCCTTGCTTCGGCAGGAAGAAGGCACATACACTGACACTGGGTCCAGCATCGGCCTGGCCAGGACTGGTGCAGGTGTATAGCTGGCGCCCTCCGACGAGGGGTAGGGGCGCGAAGGCTCTTGGGGGACAGGGGAAGTGGGCCAGGATGCTGGTCTATCTCAGCGTGTGTTACTGTGCCACTCTTTGGTGGCTCTCTCTCTCTCTCTCTCTCTTTCTCGCCGCCCCTCCTCGCTCCTTTTCGTTCTCCTCCTCCTCCTCCTCCTCCTCCTCCTCCTCCTCCTCCTCCTCCTCCCTCCTCCGGTTCTCCTCCCTCTTCCGTCTCCCTCCTCCTCCTCCGTCCACGCTCCCTCCTCCTTCCCCTCGTCCTCCTTCTCCTCCTCTTCCTCCTCCTCCTCCTCGTCCTCCCTCCTGCTCCCTCCTCCTCCTCCTCCTCCTCCTCCTCCTCCTCCTCCTCCTCCTCCTTCTCCTCCGCCTCCCCCCCTCCCCATTACTCCTCCTGCTGTCCGTTGCTCCTCCTCCCCCTCCGCTCCCCCCCTCCCCCTGGGAGGGGTCTGGGGGCCTGTTTTGAACGGACCCTGGCCCTGGACTAGAGGAGGCTCAGGAAAAGGACCAGAGATCGGGATTTTGGAAAATTCTGGCCCGTTGGGTGACTTTAGGTCAAGGCCCCCAAAACCAGGACACGCTGGACCAGAACATCCAACATCCCTCAAAAACTATCATGTTTCCCCGACGGCGGCACGAACAAAACTGCAATGTATTGCTCCCGAAATTAACCCGGACAAAAGCCCTAAAAGCCTGCATTACCCCCCCTGAACCAAAACAAAAACTCGAGTCCTGCAGTGCAGCAAACAAAAGCTGCACTGGACGACCAAATCGGACCTTGCAAGAAAGGGTGTTGTTTCCCCGATTTGCCAATGTCCTGGTTAGTCTGTTTCCTAGTACCGAGCGCAGCACAGGGCCTGGACGGGCTCAGCGGCGCAGCAGCCGACCGCGGACACCCGCGATCGCTCTTGTCTTCTTCCTCCTCCTCCTCCTCCTCCTCCTCCTCCTCCTCCACCTCCTCCTCCTCCTCCGCCTGTCTCCTCCTCTCACATGTCCAAACAGAACTCGTCTCTGCCTGCCAGCGTCTCCCCCCCGCCTGGAAACTACCCCGCGAGAACTGAGATTACCGCTGGGGTTGCTAAGGGGATCGGGAGGTTCGAAGTGGATGCTAAGGTGGGGAAATATCCAGCCTAACCTAGCTTATAAGTGGGTTACACGTGATTAGATAGCTTCGTTAAGTGGGCTTCGCCCACTTGGGCCAGATCCGCACGCCCCGGGAACCACTTGGGGCACCTGCACCCTATTTACGAGCAGGCTTGGGCCAAATATCAATCACCTTAGCATCTGCTTCTAACCCTCCTTGGGGAAACGAAGAGGTACCGATACCGCTGCTCCCCTGACCTCCCCCGGGGTGCGTTCTGACAGGGATTTCGAGGCGAATCCAGCGGTGGCGACGAGGGCCTCCCAGGAGGCCCGCAAAGGAGAAAACGAAGGAAGGGTAGCGGCATGTCGGCGGCGAGAGAGGGGGGGGAATTGAGAAGGAGAAGGCCTTCTCAGAAGGTTCGGAAGTCCCCTGGCCTTCTGAGAAGTTGTCCTAGCCTTCCCCGAAGACCATACAAACTTCTTAGAAGGCGCGAGGGCTTCTGAGAAGTACCGCCGCCTTCTGAGAAGGCCTTCTCGTTCTCACTTCCCCACCTCGCTCGCCGCCGAGTATGGGTACCTGTTCCTCCTCTGACCCTTGTCGCCTTGGCAAAACCCACGGTCATCCAAGCAGGAGCCCCAACGGCGCAAGCCGGCAGGGCACGCCAGCTGCATCAGCTGGCCGTCGCGCACCTCGACCTCTCGGAGCGCGCAAGGGCTGTGCAGAGGGGGGCATCGGGGAGGGCAGCCATTGCGGGGACTTCGGCCATGAGCCGCACTGGCTCCTCGCCTGGGGGGGAGGCCTTCCAGGACACCGGAGCGGTGGGCAGGATCGGATTGCAGTGCTACTTCCTTCCGGAGGAAAAGGACTTGTGGGGCGCTCGGGCATCGAATCTCACCACGGCCTGACTAGCGCAGTGGCGTGAAGCAGAAGACCGCCAGACAAACCAACAAAAAACGGACCGGCCTGCCATAGGCGAGCTCATGCGATGATCTATGGCACGGATCGGACCGGGGTGTGTCGGATCGGCCTGACTCGGCACCGAGCCGAGGTTAGATCGGATCAGCTGCGCCATGGGTGCTCAACAGCGCGCTTCCTGCAGGCAACGGACCGCATCGAATCGCCAGAACCTCGGAATCGAACAGGATCGGGATGGGCGAAAGCAATGCCGAAGCGGATCGAAAGGGACTCGACGTGCACCCTGGAGACCTCGAACTGGTGCTCATTAGTGGACGGTGCGTGTGTAGGATGATGTGGCTTCGCTGGTGCGCAGTGGGCGGTGGGTGGCGCGTGGTGCCTAGTGGGTGAACAGTGCGCGGTGCGTTGTGGGCGATTCCTTCTGCTGGCGGTGGGCGGTGCGTGCGCGGTGGTGCGCACGACTCGTGGTGGTGAACGTTCCCCCCTGCAGCCCCCTGACACCAATTTGGCGGCGCGCACAAGGGGGTGGAGGGAGGAGGGAGGGCTTCTTAGAAGGAAGCTGCTTCTTAGAAGGCGCCGGCGTTACATCTATAGATAAGGCCCGCGCCATCTAAGAAGCAGGGGTGCTTCTGAGAAGCCCTCTCCCCTCCCCCCATCCCCCTCTGCGCGTGGCTGACCAATGTCCCCTCTTTCCCCTTCGAACACCACGCTTGACAAGGCGGCTGCACTTCCCGTATTCAGGGACGGGGGGGAGGTCTGGCTAGCTGCGGCTTGCCGGGCACCTTGCTCTCCCAACACACCTGCGGTGGCGCGAGGCGCTGGAGAAAGAAACCACTGGAGGGCGGTAACAGTGAACCCGGCGCGGCCCCAATTAGGGAGGAGCTCCTCAAGTAACTGAGCAAGGGAGGCGGTGTTTTGCTTAGGCATTGATTTGCAGTGTTTGGCACTGCGTTACATTGCGCTACATTGTCTTACCATGGTTTGCGCCATTGCTGTGCTTTGATGTGCTTGGCATTGATTGCTTTGCATTGCATTGCTTGGCAGTGCCTGGCATTGTCTGACATGTCCTAGCATTACTTGGCATTACTTGGCATCGATTGGCTTTGCTTGGCGTTGCTTGACATTGCTTGGCATCGCTTGGCATTGCTTGGCATTGAGTGGTTTGGGGTGGTATTGTTTGACCGTGCTTAACATTGCCTGGCATTGCTCTCCGTTGCTTTAGATTGCTTCGCGTTGCTTGGCATTGCCTGGCATACTAGGCATTGCTAGGCAGCAAGGAGCCAAGACCAAGGAACCGGATGAAGGCAGTCGAGACACAGGACCAGGCAACCCGAGCAAGGCGGTCAAGAACCAAGACCACGCAACCCGAGGAAGGCAGCTAGGAGACAAGACCAAGCGACCCGAGGAAGGCAGCCAAGAAACGAGACCCGGCAACCCGGGGAAGGCTGGCCGGCGCAGGCCTGGAAGGCAGTCGAAAGACCAGGCCCAGCAATCCGGGGAAGACCAGCTGGCCAGGCCAGGCGCCCACCAGTTCTTCCAGAGCAAGGAGAGCAACTGAGGTAAAGCCCGAGCGGGGAAGAAAGGAACACGACCAAGCAAACCGAGGAAGGCCTCTTCAGAAACAGTCAGGGAACGAGACCAAGGAGCCCCGACGAAGGCCACAGCAAGGCCAGTTCTTCAAAAATTGAACGGGACCCCTCAAGCAAAGCCTGACTTGGGAAAAGCAACATGACTGCATGAAGCGGCTCACCTGGTCACGTGACACAGAAGCGCCCTCGCGCAGGCGGCCCAAGAAATACAACGACAACAGGGCATTGGCGAGGGATAGGGCATCACAAAACATGTGGCAAGGGAGCGGTACTCTCGCGAGGGCCGAAAATGATTAATGCGATACCTCCTCCTTCTCCTTCTCCAGCCTTTCTCCTCCTTCTCATCCTCCTCCTCCTCCTGACGCTAACGCTGACGCTGGTGGCTTCGGAGTTCAGTGGTCATATGCCGCAAGGCTCTCCTCCTCCTCCTCCTCCTCCTCCTCCTCCTCCTCCTCCTCCTTCTCCTCCTCCTCCGCCTCCTCCTCCTCCTCCTCCTCCCCACTCCATCCTCCCCTGCCTCCCCCTGCTCCTGATCCTCCTCCTCCTCCGCCTCCTCCTCCTCCTGCTCACCTCGCTCCTCCTCCTCCTCCTCCTCCTCCTCCACCTCCTCCTCCTCCTCCACCTCCTCCTCCTCCTCCTCCTCCTCCTCCTCCTCCTCCTCCTCCCTCCCCCTCCCCCTCTCCGCCTCCTCCTCCTCTCTCCTCCTCCTCCTCCTCCTCCTCCTCCTCCTCCTCCTCCTCCTCCTGACGGAGGGGGCAAACGCAGGGCGAGCTCACGAAGGCGGGAGCCCACGCGGCATTCCTCCCCGCGGCGCGCGGGCCTCGTGCTTGCGGCCGCCAATTTCGCTCGCCCTGCGGGGGGGAGGGGGAGGGTCTCCTCCCCCTCCTCCACCTTGTCCTGCTCGTCCTCCTACCGCCATCCTCCTCCTGCTCATCCTTCTCCGCTTCCTCCTCCTCCTCCTCCTTCTCCTCCTCCCTCTCCACTTCCTGCTGTTCGTCCTCCTCCTCCTCCTCCTCCTCCTCATCATCATCATCATCATCATCACCATCACAACCATAACCACCATCACCGCCATCACCATCATCATCATCATCATCATCATCATCATCATCATCATCATCATCATCATCATCATCATCATCATCATCATCATCATCATCATAATCATCATCATCATCAGAATCCTCCTCCTCCTCCTCCGCCTCCTCCTACTCCTCCTGCTCCTCAGAAGCAGCAGCACCACCGTCATCATGCTCATCGTCATGCTCATGCTCAGCATCACCATCGTTATCATCATCACCACCACTAGCACCATCACCACCAACAACATCACCACCACCACCACCACCATCAGAGAATCGTCATCATCAAACGCATCGTCGTCCTCCTCCTCATCGGCCTCATCCTGATCCGCATCCTCCTCCTCCTCCTCCTCATCCGCATCCTCATCTTCATCCTCATCCTCATCACCGTCAGCAGCGTCAGCAGCAGCCTCGGCAGCATCATCACCATTATCAGCAGCAGCAGCATCAGCAACAACAGCCGCAGCAGCATTATCGTCGACATCGTCATCGACATCGCCACCTCAGCATCACCATTCCCATCGTCAACAGCATCACCAGAATCACCATCAGCAGCAGCAGCGGCAGCGTCGTCGTCATCGCCAGCATCAGCATCAGCATCAACATCAGCACCAGCATCAGTATCAGTGCCAGGAACAGCATCAGCACCATCATCATCCTCATCATCATCATCATCAGCATCATCAGCATCATCATCATCATCACCATCATCATCATCACCAGCAGCAGCAGCAACGTCATCGTCGTCATCGTCATCAGCATCATCGTCAGCATCCTCATCAGAATCGGCATCATCATGATTATCAGGAGCCTCATCATCCTAAGCATCAGCAGCATCCCTATAATCATCCGCATCAACATCATAATCATCAGCATCAGCATCATCATCATCACCAACATCGCCAGCATCAGCGTCTTCACCATCGTCGTCATCATCAGCATCGGCATAATAACCCATCTCAGCATCATCATCACCACCGCCACCACCATCATCATCATCATCATCATCATCATCATCATCATCATCATCATGATCATCATCATCATCAGCAGCAGCATCATCAGCCCCACCATTACATCGTCGTCACCTTCATCGTCATTACCAGCCTTGTCCTGTTATTCCTCGTCCTCCTCCTGCTCATCCTCCGCCTTCTCCTCCTCCTCCTTCTCCTCCTCCTCCTTCTCCTCCTCCTCCTCCTCCTTCTCCTCCTCCTCCTCCTGCCTCCACCTCCTCCTCCTGCTCCGCCTGCGCCTCCTCATCCTCCCACTCCTCCTCCGCCTCCCCCTCCTCCTCCTCCTCCTCCTCCCTCCTCCTCCTCCTCCTCCTCCTCCTCCTCCTCCTCTCCTCTCTTCCTCTCTCCTTCTTCTCCTCCTCCTTCTCCTCCCCCCCCTCCTCATTCTCCTCCTCCTCCTCCTCCTCCTCCTCCTCCTCCTCCTCTGCCTCCTCCCCCTTCCATATCATCAACTGTTGGTCCTCGGCGAGATAGGCAACGCGTCGTCGAAGGTGGTGAACCGCAAGCCCCACCCGACGGGATATCTGGCGTGGCGAGGCAGGCGAGCGAGCGACAGAAAGAGTGAAAGAGAGGAGGTGAGAAAGAGATAACGAGATCGAGAGAGGATGCTCTCCGTGGGGGCATTCCTAAAGCCACTCCCTCCACGCATACGTCGATGGTGCGTCAAGCGTCTGCACGATTTAGCAGTTCGGGTCATAGGACGTGAGGGCACATAGGGCAAGAGCCGCAATTTGAAAACGAATTGGCCTCCATCCCAGTAACTGTTGGAAACAAGCAAGGTGAATGTGCGCGGCGTTAAGGCGAGAGCCGCACTTTGGAAACGAACTCGCCTCAAGCACTGTGACTGTTGGAGGCGCTTGACACGAGTGTACGCGGCGCTACGACGGGAGCCACATTTTGTTTTTGAACAACGACCAGCTCTTCATCCTTGCAGCTGGTGAAAATCCGTGGCCCTAAGGCGAGAGCCGCATTTTCGAAGCGACCAGCCATCCATCATTGAAACTGTTGGATTTGCTTCAGCTTCACAGCGGTCGGCCGTAAGGAACTCTCCAGCGAAACGCCCGCCGGGCATGGAGAAGGATGAGAGATGCTGATGCGACGGGGATGGAGACTTCTGAGAAGGAAGGGGAGGAGAGGGAGGAATAGGAGGAGGAGGAGGAGGAGGAGGAGAAAGGGAGGAGGAGAAAGGGAGGAGGAGGAGGAGGAGGAGGAGGAGGAGGGCAGGAGGAGGCACAGCGTCGGAATGTCGGCGACTCTATCGCTGTGCCGCCGCTCCCGCCGCTCTCGCCCGAGAGACGGCTCGGCCGCGCGCAGCGCCCGGGCAGCGCTCGTGAGGGCTCCGGGTCGGGGCGAGGGACCGGAAACTCCGGGCGGAGGCGACTGCGCTCGCAGCGCAGCAGTCTGTGGAATTGTTGTTTCTCGTCCTCCGGGTTGACGGCCGCGAACGGCCCCCGGGCCGGAAGTGGAAGTCGACGGAGAAGAACGATACCTAGCGCGAGCACGACAACCACTGTCTAGGGTGATGATTGTTGATCCGCTTCCGCCACCCCCAACGACCAGGCCCGCCCGCCGCCCCCACCCCCTCTGCGTTCCAGGATAAGTTTCATGGAACGCAGCCCCATCGTGTGTTATCACGCCTCAGCCAGCACAGCGACAGGACTCGCACTGCCACTGCGGGTTGCCCCGACACGCGACAGAGCTGCGCAGGCCCGATGCCCGCGGATCCTCTCGGGGCGCGCCGCCGAGGATGTGTGCAACAGGGGTGGGGAGCGAAGCGGAGGACGACAAAAGGAGGAGGAGGAGGAGGAAGAGGAGGAGGAGGAGGAGGAGGAGGGGGAGGAGGAGGAGGAGGAGGACGCAAAAGATCGGCTGACCTTCTTGGCCGCGCGAGGCCGCCGCGGAAGGGGCAGAACAAAAGAGGTGCACGGTGTTGACTCTCCGGACTGGCACCCAATGGTACGGGCTGCGGCCGCGTGGCTCGCAGCCCAGACTTTTGGTCATGCCGGCCCGTCCCGGGTTAGGGGGCCACACGCGAACCCCACCCTCCCCCTCAGAAATCGTGGGGGGTAGGGGTAGGGTTCGCGTGTGGCCCCCTATGGGTGGCAGGCAGGTGGCCCCCCGAGGAGGGGGGCCGCGGGCGAGGGCAGAAGCGGGGCGATGGAGACAGAGACGTGCCGTGTGCGGGTGCCCCCCCGTGGCCCAACCGACCAGTAGTGGCCTATAAGGCATCACACAGCGACGCGCGCAAGGACTAGCTGCTTAAGGACAGTGCACAGTGCCCAGAGCGAGTTGCAGCCCAGGCGGCCACGCGGCTGATAGCAAGTATGCCCAGACTGCTACCGTGCGGAAGGAGGACGCAAGAAGGGGAGGGCGGAGAAGGCCAGGAAGAAAAAGACGAAGAGGCAAGTCAACGGAGCTAGGTGAGCAATATAATGTGGATGGGCTGCAGCTCCGCAGCGATTGAAATCGGCCCCGCCCGTAGACGAAACGGGGGCGGTCCCAAAAGGGGGAGCGATCGCCCTCGTGCACGCCAGGGCCAGGCAGAAGCGCCAACACGCACAGCGGAGCAACGTCACGTCTAAACAGAAAAAAACATGCATGAGAGCAGGGAGCAGGAGACAGGGCCTCAGAAGTCGACGTTGGACCAGTGGCCATAGCCAAGGACGGCCATCAGGGCGTTGACAATCAGATCGGAAATGCACTGGTGATCGACCCACTGCCCGGATTCCGAAGCCGAAGTCGGGGCTAGAGTCTTGGCACGAACCCTGGAACCGACCGCCAACATATAAAATGCCAGCTGTTTTGCAAAAGCATGCCGTGGCAATCTAAACGGTCACCCCGATAGGCGTGGTGCGGAAGACGGCACAAGCATCGTAATCGAGCGCATAGCGAGACTCGGAGCCAGATCAGGAAACAAAGGTGACCTCGGAGGTGGAACCTGTCCCGGCATGGGAATCGGAGCTGGCGACTTACTCGGCGCTGGAGTCGATGCTGGAGCCAGAGCCGGAGCTGGCGTCGGAGGGTGGCTCGGAGCTGGCGTCGGAGCCGTGGCGCGGCAGAAGAGCTTGATCTGGCGAGTCGGAGCTGGTGTTGGAATTGGCGCCGTACCCAGTGCTGGGGATGGAGCCGGAACTGGCGTCGGAGCTGGCGACGGAAGGGGGTCGGACAAGGTGTCGGAGCTGTCGTGGCAGCAGCAGGGGGGTTGGAGCTGGGAAGCCAGTGATGGTGTTAGCTCTGGCGCTGCAGTCCGTGCTAGAGTCGGCGCTGAAGTTGGCATCGGAGAGGGGGTCAGGGCTGGCGTCCGAGCCGTGGTAACATTAGGATGTCGACTGTGTTCAGGTTGATAGGCCTCCAAACCATCAGGATGAGTTGTCCCACAAAGTGGGATAGGGCATGTTGTACATCGAAGGTTATGTCAGCGTCCGCAGGCGCGAAGGCTCAAGACATCTGACTTCGGGGTGCAAGGCTCCAGCACCAACAGGATGAGCCATCCCACCAGGTGGGATCGAGCATGTTCGGCACTCAATGTTATGTTGGCGTCCGTAGGCGTGAGGGCTCAAGACACCTGCTTCGCAAGCTTACGAAAAGGGTGTGGGAGCCGGAGCTGAGGAGATGGAGCTGGTGTTGGATCTGGTGCTGGAGTCGGTGCTCGGGTCGGAGCTGGAGGCGTCGGAGAGAGAGGGTGGAGCTGGCGTCGAAGTCGTAGCCGCGGCAGGGGAGTCGGGACTTGGTGTTGGAGCTGGCGCCAGAGTGGGTTCCGGGGAAGGAGCTGGAGCTGGCCCCAGAGGGGGGGTCGTACATGAGATCGGAACCGTGGTAGCAGCTGCAGGGAGATCGGCGTCGAGGAGCTGGAGCTGGCGTCGGAGGGGGGGCCGGAGATGGCGTCGGAAGGGAGGTCGAAACTGGCGTCGGGGCCGTGGTGGTGATGTGCAGGGGAGTCGGAACTGGAGAGCCGTCTCTGGTGTTAGCGCTGGCGCTGGAGTCCGCACCAGAGTTGGCGTCGGAGGGGGGTCGGAGCTGGGGTCGGAGCCATGGAAGCGGCTGGGGAGTCGGAGCTGGGGAGTCGAAGCCGGCGTCGGGACTGGTGCTGGTAGTCGGACTGCACGTGAAGCCAGGGCTGAAGTAGGAGCAGGCGGGGCTCAATCAGCACAGATACGATCCCAATAAGCGCACGACCAATAGACCCCAGAGAGAACAGAGACCATCTGTCCGTGCAGGGAGCATCTGAGATAAGACACCCTCAGAAGCCGGCGCCGGCGACGTCGTCGGCTGAAAATTGGAAGTCGGAATGTTGACTTGGGGGGGGCCGGAGGTCGATAGGAGGACGCGGAAATGGGATGGTGGAGGCTGGAGGCTGGAGAGCCGTGCCTCGACCTCAGTCGTGGGCTCGCCGCCGCCTCCGGCCCGCGAGGGGCGGGCGCCCCATCGCAGCATCGCCGAGGCTCCCCGTCGTCCCTGACAGCCTCGTGGAGGAGCTGGTTCATGCACCCCCTGTGGTACTCGCGATCGTCGCGGCCGTGGTGCCGGATGTGGTTGGCCAGCCGGTACATGACATACACCGACACCGCTGTCAGGTGCGTCTGCCTGTCTGTGAGAGGGACTGCGAACATCCACCGCTCCATGCTGAATGGAAGGTCCCGTCCCCCAAGGCGGTTGGCCATCCAGGCTTGTAGCACTGGACGCCAGAGATGATGCTCCAAAGCGTCGCGGCCTGGCAGCCCAGCAGGCAAGTGAGTCGCCTGCCGCGCAAAGCCGGCGTGCGGCGGTCAGTTGTCCACCGGTTGAATATTTTACTCGGGACCGCTGCCCGAATTCGAAAGAGGCACCAAACTGCGCAGCCTTCAGGGGTTCGCGTGCGTGCGGCGGGAGGTGGGGCCAGGTGGGGCCAGGTGGGCAACCAGGCGCCACTGCGCCGAACGATGCCGGCGTCGGAATACTGGATCATACCGCCGTGGTGCCAGTAGCTGCTTCCCGAACCACCGCTGTATACGTCGTTGAAATTTCCGCTTCTCCGGCGCTGTCAGCGCGCCCACTCGTCCAACGAGCTGTCGCCGAGCAACGGCGATGTCGATGCCTGCCATCATTGCTTCGTGAACTGCGGTCAAAACAACCGTGCTGCTGGAACCAGTGGTGGAGCCTCGCTGCGTGGACGACATGATCAGTGTCCCCCTTGGCGTCCACCAGCTCCTTCTGAAGGCGCCGCCATGGAATGCCCCCGTCTCCACGCGATTCCCAAGCATGCATCCGCAGCATGGCGGCCGTGCACGTCTCACGTAGGGGTCGTAAATGCCGGGACAATCCAAGCTCCGAGCCGTGTTGGAGGTCTGATGGGCTGCACCATGCTCCTGGGTCCGGGGAGATCCGGCGCACCGCCAGTCTCCAACTGTAAGATTTCTGGCGGCGGAAGTGGAACTGCGTGACGACATATTTCAAGTGCGAGAGCTCCGAGGCCCGCAACCCAAGCCTGATTGTAGGCTCCAGCCAGGGCAACAACCGCGGTGATGTGACAGGCAGACTCAGGCCCCTACAAGAAGCCGAGCATGCAACCCCGCTGCAGGTTTCGCATCCTCCCAGCCGTGACCCACCCTCTCGCCCAAGTTTCAACGGCGGCAAGCCTCCACGAGGGGGGGGGGGGCCAAGTGAAAAACCCGCCACAGCTCGTCCCAGCAGACCACCTCGAGAGCTTCAAGAGTCAAGAGGGGTTCCAAGCCATTTGCAAAACCGAATTGACATGAAGCGAGGCCACTCCTGGCGGAAAAAAAAAAAAAAAAACGAATAGGGTAGGGGGAGGAGGAGGAGGAGGAGGAGGAGGAGGAGGATGAGGAGAGGGAGGAGGAGGAGGAGGAGGAGAGGAGAGGCTGCAATTTTGATCTCGCCCTCGGCACGCAGGGCGGCCCATGCCGCGCGCGCGTGGCGCACTGTACTCACTTGTCCCACACGTATTCGCCGTGCACGGCCTCCGCGAGGCTGCTCACCAAGGCAGGCGCCTGCCACCACGGGTGCGTAAGCGTGCCGCGCATCCACTGCACCATCGGGAGGTGCTCCTCGGCCCACGACCGCAGCTGCGGCTCCAGGGTGCGCCAGCAGGTCAGCGCCACCTCCGCGGCCCGCATGCCCGCCGCTGGAGCCGTCGCGCGCACTGAAGGTAGCCACGGCCCGCCCCACACGCGGAGCGTGTGCCACGCGCGCCCGGGCAGGAAGTTCCCTGGGCAGCGGGGCAGCGAGGTGAGGACGTGGCGCTCGTCCTAGACGAGCGCGCATGGCAGCGGCATGAGCCGGCTCACGCAACTCGTGACTGGGAGCGCCCTCGTGCGGTATGCCAGGCCCAGCGCAGCGCCATCCATGGCAGTGGCCTTCACCGCGCGGGTGCTGCCCACCGGGATGCAACTGTGGCGGCTGGGCCGATCTGTAGTCCCAGGTAGACGGCCAGCTCCGCGACGCGGACGGCGGCCCACGCCGGCGCAGTCTCTGCGAGCTCCCTCTGGGCCTCCTCCCTCGCCGCGTCGTCGAAGGCCTGCCACAGAGGGACTGCGACGCACTCCCTCGTCTTCGGCACCAGGCCCGCGCACTCCTCGGCCTCCGAGCAGGTGTCCGCGAGGGCCTTCCTCCCTCCTGCTCCCCCCGCGGCCGCGCCGCAGTCCTCCGCGCACCACCGCGCGAGCCCACGGCTCGCCGCAGGTGGCAGCACGGCGAGGCGGGGCTCCATGGCCAGCACGAGCGGGTCGACGCCGATGGCGAAGCACAAGCCACTCGGCGGGTCGCCCTGGGCCACCCCCGAGTGCACGGCGCAGAGCGGCAGACGATGGAGGGCGCCCCACGTCCAGGCCTGCGCAGGACTCGCGTCGCAACTGCTGGTGAGCCAGGCGCGTCCCACGACACCAGCACCTCACCGATCCACTGCTGGGAGATGCTCGGAAAGGCCTGGCCCCAGTCGAACATGTGCAGCACACGCCGACGCGCGCGCCCTGTCTCCTCCCGGCTCCACATCCGCCCGTACGCGTCGAGCTCCGTCACGTTCTCGAGGAAAGTTGCGGCCGGACGCGAAGCCTCGCTGGCTCGCCGACACCTCGCGGCGCGTCACCGCCCGCAGGCGGGAGTTGACAGCGCCCGCCGTCGCCTGGGCCGCTGTGCTGCGCAGCAGGAGCGGGCGCGAATCGGCAGCGTCACGCAGCAGGCCGCCGGCCACCTCCTCCTCCGCCTCCTGCGAGCCCTTCGGGATGAAGCTCCCGAGCCCGGCATGGAGCCCCGCCCGCGGGCCCAAGCCGCTCGCCTGCCCCTCCACGCCCCGGCCAAGGGCCGCCGCGCACGCGGGGCGGCACGGCCAGGCGCAGGCAGGGAGCCCGCCGGGCCCAGGCGCCGCGGGGCCCGCGCGCGCGCCAGGCACAGCCGCGCTTCCCGGGTCGTTGGCGGCAGGGCCTTCCAGCTCTCTCGTGGCAGGGCGGAGCGGGCGAGGCAAGCGCGCCTGCGGTCCTGAGAGCCGTCGGCAGCCCCAGCGGCAGCCCCAGCGGCAGCGCATCCAGGGCGGAGATCATGGCGCTGCCGTCCGCGATCTCCGAAGACGTTGCCCCAATGCTCGGCAGCGGCGGCCGAAATGCCGGCCGCGGTACGTACCGCCTCCGAGCCCACCCGGATGCCGCCCAGGAAGCGCATGGCGTCAAAGGGCGCGAACATCGGAGCACGTCTCTTCAACGCGCGCAGCTGCCATCGCAGCCGGCGGCGCACGCGTTCTTCTCCCTCCTCCCCGTCTGCGTCCAGCTGCTGCCCCGGCGCTCGCTGCCAGTCGACCTGCTCGCGGTGCTGGGCGAGGTCGTGTCTCCTCTGGAACTCGGCGGGGTTCATGATCTTCACGCCGTCCCGCTGCGTCGCGGCAACAGCTCCTGCAGCCAGGCATGGCGGCGCAGCAGGAACTGCGCCTGCGCAGCCTGCCCGCGCCATGCCGCGCGGGCCATCTGCCGCCAGAACAAGGCCCTCGAGGCTTTTCGGGCTGGGCGCCGAGCGCAGCTCGTGGTCCCGTGCGTATCTGCTGAGGCGGCGTGAGGGAACTCGAGGGGCAGCACCTCGGTGTGGGCCGCCGCGCTGTCCTGGAAGACCTTGGCCTTGGCGAGCCGCGGCGGGATCGGGGGCGGCGCGTGGAGCAATTCTTAAGGCCCTCGGCGGCGGCCGCGGGCCCCACGCCAGCGATAGAAGCCCGTGGTCGCTGATCCCCGCAAGGTGGAGCTCCTGCGGCTCGCCCGTGGCCTGGGCATGCTGCCAGCCCTGGGCCAGCTGCCAGGCGGGTGCGCCGACGAAGTTCTTGTCGACCGAGGTCGAGCATCGTGCACCCCAGGCCCAATGCGCCGGCTGGGGCGACACCAGCTCCACCGCCCAGCCAGCGGAGGGCGCCCCGCCAGAGGCGGCTCGCCGTATGGCGATGTACTGCCGGCCCTCCAGCCGCCTCTCCCTCGCCGAGCGCGATCCTCTCCTCAACCTCCGCGCCCCCGTAGCCCGCCACCACCATGAGCCGCGTGCGTGGGTCAGCGCGCGCCCAGGCGACGTCGGCCTCGATCACGCGCGTCACCCGCTGCAGCTGGTCGCGCACCGTGCCGTGGCTGCGCACGCTCCAGCGCCTGAGCTCCACGAGGAGGAGGAGGAGGAGAAAAGCAGGAGGAGCAGGACGATGAGGAGCCGCAGGAGGAGGAGCAGGACGAGGAGGACAGGGACGAGGAGGAAGACAGGCGAGCAGGACGAGAACGACGACGGGGAGGACGCCCGGCGGCCGCGACCTCCGGTCCTCCACCGGCTCGACGCTGACCGTGTCCTGCGCCGCCCGCCCGCCCGGGTGGCGGGGCGCGCCGCCGCCCCCGTCCCGCCGCCGGGCTTCTCCTGCAGTGGTACAGAAGAAAGCGAGATCACTTCCCACCAGCACGAGCAGAAGCCTCTGGAAGGCCCGTTGCGGACGTTTCGGGTAGGCGCCTGGAGCCTGGAGAAAGGAAAGAGAGAAAACGAGGCAGGCCGCGAAGGCGAGACTTTCTTTCACCGTTTTGCACGTTGGGCTCTTGACAAGCTAGGAAGCGCTGACTAAAAATTACCCTGGCGACGTACCCAACCCGTGCGCAATGCGGGGCATAAGTACATCAGGCTTGCTACAAGGGGGGCGATAACGTAACATGGACGCATGTGATTTTGCGATCAGCAATCGGATGGCTCGCAGGCCCCTGATCAAGATCTAAGGGCTACGTAATAACAAATCACACCCGTTGGCTGTGCCATGCGCCCGTTGCACCCAACGTATCCCACAGCAACTCTTGAGAGCCCCCCCGGGATACGCGCAGGCGCAACGTTATGGCCATCGCCCGGCAGATGCTCTGTTTCACGAATCACCCCAGTCGGCTGCGCCATGCGCCCGTTGTGCCTAAAGTATCACACAAGGTCGGTTAGAACTGAACGCGGGATCTACCAAGGACGGTTGGGGCTCAATCGAGCTCCAACCAGGGCGGTTAGAGGTCAAAGCGGGCTCTGAGAAAGACGGCTGGTCGCAGGTCGCAGCCCCCCAGGGACGGCGAGGTCCCGCTCAGATCCCCGCGGTGCCTCACTCCGCAGGGCCCACCAGCAGACCTCGAAAGTGGCGACAATGTCGCAGATCGCAGCCCCCCAGGGACGGCGAGGTCCCGCTCAGATCCCCGCGGTGCCTCACTCCGCAGGGCCCTCAAGCAGCCCTCGAAAGCGGCGACAGTGTCGCAGACGCAGCCACCCAGGGACGGCGAGGTCCCGCTCAGATCCCCGCGGTGCCTCACCCCGCAGGACCCACCAGCAGCCCTCGAAAGCGGCGACACTGTCGCAGATCCCAACCCCCAGGGACGGCGAGGTCCCGCTCAGATCCCCGCGGTGTCTCACTCCGCAGGACCCACCAGCAGCCCTCGAAAGTGGCGACAGCGTCGCAGATCGCAGCCCACCAGGGACGGCGAGGTCCCGCTCAGATCCCCGCGGTGCCTCACTCCGCAGGACCCACCAGCAGACCTCGAAAGTGGCGACAGTGTCGCAGATCACAGCCCCCCAGGGACGGCGAGGTCCTGCTCAGATCCCCGCGGCGCCTCACTCCGCAGGACCCACCAGCGGCCCTCGAAAGGGGCGACACTGTCGCAGATCGCAGCCACCCAGGGACGGCGAGGTCCCGCTCAGATCCCAGCGGTGCCTCACTCCGCAGGACCCACCAGCAGCCCTCGAAAGTGGCGACAGTGTCGCAGACCGCAGCCCACCAGGGACGGCGAGGTCCCGCTCAGACCCCCGCGGTGCCTCACTCTGCAGGACCCACCAGCAGAACTCGAAAGTGGCGACAATGTCGCAGATCGCAGCCACCCAGGGACGGCGAGGTCCCGCTCAGATCCCCGCGGTGCCTCACTCCGCAGGACCCACCAGCAGCCCTCGAAATTGGCGACGGTGTCGCAGATCGCAGCCCCCGAGGGACGGCAAGGTCCCGCTCAGACCCCAGCGGCGCCTCACCCCGCAGGACTCACCAGCAGCCCTCGGAAGTGGCGACGGTGTCGCAGATCGCAGCCCCCCAGGGACGGCGAGGTCCCGCTCATATCCCCACGGTGCCTCACTCCGCAGGACCCACCAGCAGCCCTCGAAAGTGGCGACAGTGTCGCAGACCGCAGCCCCCCAAGGACGGCGAGGTCCCGCTCAGATCCCCCCGGTGCCTCACTCAGCAGGACCCACCAGCAGCCCTGTAAAAAAGTGACGACACTGTCGCAGATCGTGACGGCGAGGTCCCGCTCAGAGCCCCACCCCGCAGGACCCACCAGCGGCCCTCGAAAGTGGCGACAGCGTCGCAGATCGCACCCCCCCAGGGACGGCGAGGTCCCGCTCAGATCCCCGCGGCGCCTCACTCCGCAGGACCCACCAGCAGACCTCAAAAGCGGCGACAATGTCGCAGATCGAAGCCCCCCAGGGACGGCGAGGTCCCGCTCAGATCCCCGCAGTGCCTCACCCCGCAGGACCCACCAGCAGGCCTCGAAAGCGGCGACACTGTCGCAGATCGCAGCCCCCCAGGGACGGCGAGGTCCCGCTCCGCAGGACCCACCAGCAGCCCTCGAAAGTGGCGACAATGTCGCAGATCGCAGCCCCCCAGGGACGGCGAGGTCCCGCTCAGATCCCCACGGTGCCTCACTCCGCAGGGCCCTCAAGCAGCCCTCGAAAGTGGCGACAGTGTCGCAGATCGCAGCCACCCAGGGACGGCGAGGTCCCGCTCAGATCCCCGCGGTGCCTCACTCCGCAGGACCCACCAGCAGACCTCAAAAGCGGCGACAATGTCGCAGATCGCGGCCCCTCAAGGACAGCGAGGTCCCGCTCAGATCCCCGCGGCGCCTCACTCCGCAGGACCCACCAGCAGCCCTCGAAAGTGGCGACAGCTTCGCAGACCGCAGCCCCCCAGGGATGGCGAGCTCCGCACAAAGCAAGAGGAGAGGGAGACGGGAGGCGGGAGGAGGGAGGTGGGAGGAGGAGGCGGGAGGAGGAGGAGGAGGAGGAGGAGCCGAAAAACGTTTTCATCTCTTGGGGGCCCATTGTGTCCTCGCCTTGCGCCAGTGTTCCGCCGCCTTCCGCCAGCGGAGGCGGCCTCGTTTTACTTCCACCGACCTTCCGCCGGCCTTCCGCCGCCCTTCCACCGCCTTCCGTCGCGGAAGAGATGACAACTCTTTTCCTCGAAGGCACGGCCCTTTCTGGAGCGCCCTGTGCAGAGACGCCTACGTGGACACGAGTAGAATTGCAGCGTGCTGGCGCAGTCACAATGCCGGCAACTGTGACACGAGTTTCCCTCGAAGCCGCAACACGCTCGAGCACACGCGCACAAGCACACGCGCATGCGCACAAGCACAGTGCACACATGGGCGCGCGACGGTGCATACAAACAGTGAATTCGCGAGCACGTGTAATTACACATGCCGAGAATGCGACTACAACCTAAGTGCTCCGACTCAGCGTCCATCCCGCAGTCCCTCTCCTCGTCGATGGCATGACGGGCGTCAGCTCGTATCCTGCCGCTCCCAGCGCAGAAGCAGGTGAATCATGGCAGGACCCGCGTGCCACACTCAATGGCACAAGGCCGCGCAAGCCATTAGTATCATTATCAAGTCTTGCGAGCGCTTCAAACCATATTCCCAAACGCTACTGTGTATCACGGGCGACTGCGTTCGCTTTCGCTGCGCAGGACTGATCTCAAACAACTCACTGCAAGTCTGATGCCCCCGACGTCGCCGCTCGAAGAGCGCAGCCGAAGACATTTGAAACCAGAGAAGGGAATGAGCGAGAGAGGAAACCATGAAAAACAACGAAACGAGCACATAACAAAACAACAACAAAACAAACAGTTGGGCGTCGTACGCGAAACTCCGATGGCCCGATCGGCCTTCAAAATGAACCACAATGCCAGCCATGAGGATAATTGACTGGACACGCTTGTCTGCCATCGCATGTGTTGGGCAACTGCTCCGGCAGAGCACCCCGACATGCGCCGACCCTCCGTGCAAAGACGCCAGGGACGTCCGCCCCTCCCCAGGCCCTCCTCCTCCTCCTCCTCCTCCTCCTCCAGCTCCTCCTCCTCCTCCTCCTCCTCCGCCCTTTCGCTGCTCTTGCTCCTCCTCCCTCTCTTCCTTCTCCTCCTCCTCCTCCTCCTCCCCCTCCTCCAGCTCCTCCTCCTGCAGCTCCTCCTCCTCCTCCGCCCTTTCGCTTCTCTTGCTCCTCCTCCTCCTCCTCCTCCTCCTCCTCCTCCTCCTCCTCCTCCTCCTCCTCCTCCTCCTCCTTCCCCCACCCCCCCGCCCCGACCAGGCGGGCCTCTCGATCACCCTCTCGGGGCTCCCTGGGTGGGGTGCGCGGGAGCCCTCTTCGGGCGGGCGGGCGCACGTGCGGGGGGGGCACGGCGACCCTAAGAATACGACCTCGTGGGACTGTCGACCGGCCCCGGCGCGGGGAGGCCAACTCGGCCAGACTGGGAAATCTCCGATTGGGGCGCGTCCATTCTCGAGAGGGGCGTGTCCAGACAGCCCCCACAAGAGGGTATCCCCGAGCCTCGCTGCTTCTCCGAGGGGCATCTTTGCTGTGGGGGGGAGGGAGAACTCGGGGACTGGATACGAGTCAGCTCTGACACTGGCGAATTAGAGTTAACACGAGCCGATGTAACTCAGGCGGAGTTCGGCTCGCCAGGCAGCCCTTGTGCCATCGGGCGGCCCATCGGACCTCGTCAACATGCGAACAGCCAGCATCGCCCTCGGAAGACGAAGAACATTAGGGTAGGCGGTCGAGGAGGAGAAGGAAGAGAGGAGGAGAAGGAGGAGGAGGAGGAGGCGGAGGAGGACTACGAGGAGGAGGAGGAGAAGGAGGAGGAGGAAGGTTTCCGCCATCACGTGGTGACACCGAGCATGCGACGCCCCCCTGACCTTGAACACGCACAGGAAGACGATGCAAACGAAGCTCCCGAACAAGAATAACAACTTCACGAATAACGCATGCCACCACCTTGAAAACCGTAGCACCAACTGACAACCATGCACAGACTGCCGCCGAGCGATAGGAACGTGACAGGACACAACCACCACTTTGGAACTGAAACTTACGAAATGCCTTCGCCTAATTGGCTGAACGGCTAGCCATATGTCTCTCGGCACTTTCCGCACGAGAAGTTGGCCACCTGCACGTACTGATGAATTGAGGGAAGCACCAACAAGAATTAAGGGAAGCAAGGCGCACCGACAGTCGAGGTGAACCGCCGTACTATCCCAAGGGTACTGCCAAGTCAAGCTCACGCAGCACCCGCATGCGTGCACCAGCCAAGCCCACGGTCGAAGAACCCTTGAGTGCGTACAGTGTGAAACCCATCGCCTGAGGTGCCGACACGAGACCAAGCAGCAAGCGCTCTGCACGAAGGCCCCCAGGCAACACCTCCCGCAACGCGCAGAGGAAATGCACCATCCGTGCGGCATTGGAAGTGGTGATCTTCAAGGGCCCAACCACTGTTTGATTGCGAAGGTGGCCAATGGCAACCATCAGAAGCGCAGTGGAATGCGCTACCAAACACCCAAAGACCAAGATGATAACAAAATAGCATGCCCATGCAGCAGTGGAAGACAACTACCCTGAAGTGGGGGACGCCTGCACGCAGCACACCATCAGAACAGGAAGATGCCCCGACCTGCCTTTTGATGTACAAAGTATCCCGACAACGCTTCCGATAATCTGCAATGGATGGCCAGCCCCCGTGTGGCCCAACAGCTTGAAAAAGCAAGGTGGCAACCACTGCAGGACTATTCGAACACTTCGAACATTTCGCAAATGTAAGAGAAAACGAGATGTGCGCCACAAGGACGGCGCGATGAGCCGCCGAGGCGCGGCCTCGAGGCTGGTTGGAGCCAAAAGATCTGGCTGTGGACACGCCTCGAACCGCTGGAACCGCCTCGAAGGAGGATGAGGACGACGACGACGAGGACAAGGACGAGAAATGTTGCGAGAAGGTGCAGCAGAAGGAGGTGGTGGAGGAGGAGGAGGAGGAGGAGGAGGAGGAGGAGGAACGGGGCGAGGAGGGGCCCTGCATGTGCAGGGGGCTGAGGTGGCTCCGCCCCCTGGGATGAGGACGCCACAGGCGTCAAGCGCCAGAGGGAGGAGGGGGGCGAAGGCGAAGGCGAAGGCGAAGGCGAAGGCGAAGGCGAAGGCGCCGGAGTCGGGCACACTGGTGCGCCCGTGTCCTTTTTAGGGCATGGCGCAGGAGGCCGTGGCCTCACATCTCGTGCGAGTAGAAGTCGTGGGCGAAATACTGCAGGAACCAGTACACAAAGAAGGCAAGGGGAGGACCAGAGGCACGAGGACCCGGGCGTGGTGCGGTCATCGTGCTGCCGCGGGGCCCGCCAGACGAGAGACGGGGCGCTCCTGGCCACGACGAGCACGGACCGACCACGGGTAGGCTCCCCAACCCCAGAGCTGAGGAACGGCCCGAAATAGAAGAAGAAGAAGAAGAAGAAAAACAAAAACAAAAAAACACCACAAACACACACTTCTGGCGCTCCGCGCGGATTCGGATCTGCGCTGGAGCGCGCCAGGGGCGGCGCCGGAGGGGCCAAAAGTTTATGTTTCATGTCGTCGGCGAAAACCAGAGCCCCTCCCTGAACCTAGAGTGCTCCTTCGGTCAGCGTCTTTAGAGGAAAAAGAACTATGCACATACACCGATTCTGGCCAGGCCCATCCTGAGCCCAGGATCGGTGCATACACCCGCTACCTTGGCCAGGAAGGTATATGCACCGATCCTGGGTCAAGGACGGGCCTGGCCAGGATCGGTGCATGTGCATAGCTCTCTTCGCCCGAGACGTCTTGGCTGCTGGGCGGGCCCGCCACGGCCCCAAAGGGCACCGGGAAGCCGCCGCGGAGGCCTGCAGTAAGGAGGGCACGGGGGGGCACCGGGACGTCCTCTCAAACAGTCCAGAGGTGCAGAACGACTGGCACGCGAGGCCCCCCGACGAAACGTCCAGGCCGCCCGCCAAAAACAGCCCAGCGCGCGCTCCACGGGGGAGGCCCAAGAAGGCCCCTCCAGGGACTCAAACAGGCCGGAGAGAGCCCAAGGACGCCCTCACGACGGCCCACGGTTAGCACACGAGGGACCCGGCAAGCTGGCCAGGCGGCGGCCCCAGGACTGGTCCGAGAGGCCCTGGCTGCGCAGACAGCAGAAGCCCAAACACAGCCCCAGAGCAGCTCCCAGCAACAGGCATGTGTTCCTCATTGCTTCAGTTTCCAGGCGCTTGAAGAGCCACCGCGCGCCCGGCCAGTGGAGTCCGTCCTCTTCCACTTCTCGGTGACGAGGTCCCCCCGCCCCTCGATCACCTGGCACGGGAGGGGGGGGGGGACTGGGACGAACGAGCGGGCGAACGCCGGAGACGTGCGCGCTCCTCTGGGGAGCCCCTGCGTGCCCAGCAGGGCACGGCGTGGAGGCCGTGGCCTCGGCAAGGCAGGTCGTGAGCTCGGGCACAACACGGAGCGTGCCGACCCGCGTGACGGCCACCGCTCGGTGCTCCCGGCGGCCCACGTCCGTCGCAAGCCCTGCGTGCTGATGTGCTCAGCCTGTGGGGGTATCCAGGAGGAGGAGAGGGAAGAGGAGAGGAATGGCAAGGCAAGGAGGAGAAGGAGGAGGAGGAGGAGGAGGACGAGGAGGCCGAGGAGGCCGAGGAGGAGGAGGAGGAGGAGGAGGAGGAGGAGGAGGGGAGGGTGAGGAGAAGAAAAGGGAGGGAGGGAGGGAGAAGAGGAGGAGAAGGAAGAGCAGCGGAGGGAGGAGAAAGGGGGGACGAAAGAGGAGGAGGTGGGGGAGAGGGGGAGAGAGAGGGGGAGGAGGAATTGAAGGACGGTGAGCAAAATAGGGTAACGAGGAGGAAGTGCAGCGAGAGGAGGGAGTGACGGAGAATCCCGATATCCTCCGTCATGATTTGTTCACGACATGGCTTCCCAGCGATCTGGACCACTTCCCTGGGACAGGCTGTCCATCCTGAGTCGTTTTCTGGCGGTCCAGGGGCCCGATGAGGGCTCCCGGAGGCCGAAAATTCGCAACAACTGTCCGCCGTGATCCTGCTCCCAGCGAGAGGATGTCAGAGAAGGAATGTCTGTTTGCGTAGAGGCCTCCCAAATGGGCTTCGAGAATATGGGGTCGGAAGGTCGCGCCACATCGGCGATGCATCGGCGATGTATCGGCGGCGGCGGCGATGCATCGTCGACGTCGGCGTTGAGAAAGTTTGGCTCCACATCGAGCCGCATCGCCGATCCATCGGCGATGCGGCGCTACCCTCCGACCCCATCCACTCCGACCCCACCTGGGAGGCCTAGATTTCTTTACAACGAAAATGAGGGGGCGAATCATAGTAGAAATGAACTGTTTCTACCGACGGGGACGCCTGTCCCAAGGCGGCTGGGAAGTTCATACCCCAACGGTGGCAGGAGGGGGCACGACCTTTCCAGCCGCCCTGGGACAGGCGTCCGCGATGGCGGGCAGAGCCACCTCGTGCCCAGCCTCGCCTCTGAGCAAAAGTGTCAGGGAAGGAAGGTCTGTGCGCAGCCTGGCCTCCGGCCCCCCCCCCCACCCCCGAGACCGGCAGAGGTTCGGCTGCACGTAAGAGCGACCCTGGGCAAGAGTGACCTTTGGCCCGCGGCTTCTTCGGGGGCCCGAGGGGCCAACACCTCCCCCCTCCTCCCCCTCCTCCTCCTCCCTCCTCCTCCTCCTCCTCCTCCTCCTCCTCTCCTCCTCCTCCTCCTCCTCCTCCTCCTCCTCCTCCTCCTCCTCCTCCTCCTCCTCCTCCTCCTCCTCCTCCTCCTCCTCCTCCTCCTCCTCCCTCCTCCTCCTCTCCTCCTCCTCCTCCTCCTCCTCCCCCTCCTCCTCCTCCTCCTCCTCCCCTCCTCCTCCTCCTCCCCCCCCCACCCCCGAGACTGGCAGAGGTGCTGCGGTCCCCACCCGCTCGCCCCCGCGCGCTCGAGCCCGCGGCAGGCCTGCCGGGCCGCCCCCCCCCCCCCCAGCGGGCCTCGGCGGCGCGCCTGCGGGCAGGCGCTCGGCGGGCGAGGGGGACGCGCGCGGGCGGGCAGCAAACCCGCGCTGCGGGCACCACAAAGTCACGGCGGGCGTTTTTGTTCCCCCACATCCAGAGTGGGGTTCTCGTTTCCTCTGGACACCCCGCGCAGGAGCACGCAGGAACACAGACTCACTCACCCACTCACTCATCATCTGCATCATCTTCAGCATCATCATCACTCAGTCAGGTATTCACTCACTCACTCACTCACTCACCCTCATTCGCTAGCTTGAGTATGAGGGAAGTATAGGCGGGAGGCTCGTCTGTGAGTGAACTGCGAGGAAGTCTCAGGCGGGAGCGCTCCCCCTATGGGGCCCGCACTTCATGTGTTTAATCCGAGCGGGTCATCCTCATCCCTGTAACTGTCGTCACATTTGGGTTCCTGAGGCCTGAATGCGGGGGAAGTATCAGGCGGGAGCCTCGTCGGTGAGTGAACTGTGAGGAAGTCTCAGGCGAGAGCGCTCTCCCTATGGGGCCTGCATTTCATGTTCTTACCCGACAGGTCACCCTCATCCCTGTACCCGTCGCCACTTTTGGGTTCCTGAGGCCTAAATATGGGCGAACTATCAAGCGGTAGCCTCGTCTGTGAGTGAACTGTGAGGAAGTCTCAGGCGGGAGCCCCTTCCCTAGTGGGCCCACACTTCATGTTTTCAATCCGAGCGGGTCATCCTCATCCCTGTAACCGTCGTCACTTTTGGGCTCCCGGGCCTTGAATATGGGGGAAGTATCAAGCGGGGAACCTCGTCTGTGAGTGGACTGTGAGGGAGTCTCAGGCGGGAGCCCCCCCCTTATGGGGCCCGCACTTCATGTTTTTCATCCGAGAGGGTCATCCTCTTCCCTGTAACCGTCGCCACTTTTGGGCTCCCGAGACCTGAATACGGAGGAAGTATCAGGCAGGCGGGGAGCCTCGTCTGTGAGTGAACTGTGAGGAAGTCTCAGGCGGGAGCCCCCTCTCTATGCGCTCCTCAGAGGGCGATTCGCCCGACCCATCAGGTGTGGCGGAAGAGGAAGAACAGGAGGTGAGGACGACGACGGCGGCAAGGGGAGGCGGGCGGGCAGGAGGGCGAGGCAAGGGCAACGCGGGGAGCGGGTGAGGGCCCTGCGCCAGGGCGAGAATGATACTCACGCAGAGAAGAGAATAAGGGCGCCTCACTAATCACGAGGACGACAGTGAAGGTTATATCCAGATTAGCCGAAAGGATTTTCATGCGGGGTCTTTCCGTCGGAGTAATTGTTTTTTTCCCGCGGCTTTGCAGCCACGGGGAGCCTTCCAGCAGCTTCGCCTCGCCGAGGGCTTTCTGGTGGTGCCCGGATCTTTTCGAACGGCCGCCATAGGGCCGAGCTATGACCCTAAAACTCTGGGCGCCCCCTCGTGACGAAAGAATCACGGCGGACGGTTTTTCCTTGTTTTCAGCCACGGGGGGCCCTCGCCGGGCCCAAGGACCGTCCAAAAACTATTCAGGATGAAACACCGGTCCTGGGTTAGGGGTCCAGACCTCTGGGTAACCACGTCAGATGTCTGAGTCCATATACAGACTCGCGGGCCAGGCCCCTTGGCCGCGAGCCCACGGATACGGGGCGCTTTTCGCGGATGCCCCGCGCGAGCAGTATGTGATCGCGTATCTACAGGATCGCGCCCTTCATCCAGACCGCGAGGGCGTGGATATGGACATGTTCACCGCCAGTGCAGGACGAGGAGACGGAGGCCAGGTCCGCGCCATCGGGCGCGCGAGGGGCGCGCTCGCTTCGCCAGCGGGCGATCAAGGCCACCCGCATGTTGGAAACGAGCCGGCCTCCGTCCTTGTAGCTGCTGTGAACCTCAGGGTCGAATGTGCGCAACGGCGCTGGGGCGAGAGCCGCAATTTGGAAACGAACCGGCCTCCATCCATGTCGCTGTTGGAAACCATTGTAAAGTGAATGTGCGCGGCGCTGAGGCGAGAGCCGCACTTTGAAAAACGAAACGGCCTCCACTTCAGCTGCTGAAGTTGTTTAGAACGAGTGTGCGCAGCACTCCGCCGAGAGCCGCACATGGAAGCCAACGGCCCTCTAGCCTTGTTACTGATGGACACTTTGAAAACGAATGTGCGCGGCGTTGATTCGAGAACCGCATGTTAGAAACCACCAACCATCCGTCCTTGTATCTGCTGGCGCTTGCTTTAACTTTAGGATGCTGCAGTGTCAGCCTACGGGCACGTCTGGTGGTGCAACAGGGGGAGTTGCGTATAAAGAAGACAAACGAAGGAGAAGGAGGAAGAAGGGGAGGAGAGGGAGCAGGAGGAGAAGAATTAGCACCCTGGCCCCTCGATCACCTGCCACACGGTCTTCAGCCGCGCGTCGTAGCACATGTGCCCCGACAGCTGGGCCTCTCCACGCTAGGGGCTCGCGAGGAAGGAGGGAGAGGAATTTCTGGATTAAAAGAGGCTCAGGGGAACACACATAAATCGGCACCAAGTCCAAGATTCCCCAGATGTTTGTCGATATGTCCTGAATGTTCCTCTTCCCCTCAATTTCCTGTATGCTATATGCTTCGAAATTTGATTCGAATACACGTTTATGTGTGTGTTCGCGCAGATCACCCCTCCTGAGGACAAGCAAATTCTGGATTGCAGGGCCGGTGGAACAACAAGCCTGTAAACGAAAAGTGGAGCGCAGCTCGCAGAGTAACTACCAGCAGACCAGAAGATCTGCGCGACGGGTGAAGGTGACCACAAAGGCGTAGCAAACTAATGAGCACATCGCGCTGCAACACGACACAGGAACGCTGGGAGGGGGAGGGAGGGAGGGAGGAAGGGGGAAGAATGGTCCGATCTGTCGAGGCTCGACCAAGACCTCAGGACCCATTCCCCTCAGGATCCGATTCTCAAGGAAAACGCCACAGCTCCTGGCAGGACTGACGAATCGAAGAACGGCCGCACGAGCGGCGAGAGGGAAAGAAGGACTAGCTCGATCGGGATAGCGACAAAGCGTATATTCAAAAAGGTCAGGGCGGGGGGGGGGCACAGAACTCCGTGCGGCGTGGGTAGAGAACGCGAATGCCAAATCTGCTTCTCTAAGCGCCTTCTGGTTGGCGGGGATGGAATGCTCCACGATCCTCTCGATGTCCTCAGTCGGGGCCGCCGGGATCGAAGCGACCGCTCTTACCCGAAAGCTGTCAGAGTCACGCTCGGCTCCTGGTCGGGAACGGTGGAAGCACCAGGTCAACTCGCGCAGAAGGGGGAAGCGGAAGGAAGCGCGCCCCAAACAGTCAGAGACTGGCCCCAATTCAGGGGGGGGCGGTACGCTGCGTGCAGGCAGGCGGGCCCGCCTACGGCAGCTGGCAAAACAAGTAAATATCAGACATGTGGCCTCGACTGCTCCTTCTGCTACTGCGACAGCCGGTTTGAAGACAGTTGAAACCGTCAAGGGGGGGAGGAAGGACGCACGAGAGCAGAGAGGGACGCACGACGAGCGGGGACGAGAGGCCGAGGAAATTGAGAGGGAGGGACGAACGACGAGAGGGACGACGGAGGACACGCCTGGGCCCGACACCATCCGGGAACACGCGATCGACACACGATGAACCCCGTAGGGGCCCCGCGATGGGCATCGACTCGGCCAACGGGGGCCTCGGCAACCCCTCTCGCTGCTCCCCACGCACTCCTCCCGCTCTCCATTCCTTCCCTGCCCCCCGCCCTCCCGTGCGTCGTTCCCCCCCCCATCCCGCTTCCACATCTGCTCCCCTCCTGGCCCGGGGCAAACCAGGCCGAAGGAGCATCAAACTACGGTACATCCACCGCCGTCGCTGGCACCGCCCTTCCACTCTCGTATTCTTTTGTGTGTCCATGTGTTCCCCTGCACCCCGCGTCCATATGATACTTCAGCCCTCCTCCCCTCACCGTCTGCGCATCCCGTCCCTCCTTGCCGTCCCCCTGACCAACCCCCTTCTCCATGTCGCGTCCATTCGAATATCTGCCTTCCCTTCCCTGCTCCCCACTGAGCTTCCACTGTCTCCCTTTCCACTCTCGAGCCCCCCCTCCTCAGGACCTCATTTCCCTCGCCGCCTTCCCCGACGCCTCCCATCCAAGCCACTCCCCACACCCTCCCCCGTCGTCCCCCTTGGGTCCCTCCTCCCTTCCGTTTCAAAGGCCATGTGCCCCCTTCCAACTCCACCCCACCACCACCACCGCGTCCCCAACCACGGTCACTGGCCCCCGTCCATTCCCCCACATATTTCCCCAGCCCGCGCTTCCCCGTACCATTCCCTTCCCCCATCTTCCGTCAACCCTTCGCCCATTCACCCCACCGTCCTGCACTCCACCCCTACCCGCACACTCCCCGCCCCTCTCCTCCCAGTCCTCCATCTCTTAATCCTCCTCCTCCTCCTCATCCTCATCATCCTCCTCCTTCTCCTTTTCCTTCTCCTCCTCCTCCTCCTCCTCCTCACCCTGCTCCGACGCCTCACCCTGTCTTCCCTGCTTTCTCTATCTCTCTCTGTCTCGTTCTCGCCCGCCCTGGTCCTGCATATTACCACCCACCCTCTTGCACCTCTCAGTTCTCACCGTGTGACGCACTGTTGCCATTTCCCGTGCTCGAGCGTGTCATCCGGGTCCGTGCTTGCCCACGCGACACTCACAACAAGGTCGGTGGTCGCCATAGCCAGTGACGAATAACGCTGGTGATGACTTTCTCACCTTCTGGGTCAACTCGGCTTCGGCGACGGCAATTCAGAGTTCGAGCGCCGTCTACCGTGACGGGGTGCTTTCATTCAATGTCCTTCCATCGTCGTATCAATGCTCAGGGAGCAGCAGCGCTACACATCCTGTATCCACGTTCGCTGGCAGGAATGACATGGGACATCTCACTCCAGGACGGCAACGCAGAGCGACTTCGTCAACTTCTCGGCCCACGAGTGCAATGGCTAGCACACTTTAACCAAGCATCCCGATGATACTGCGAATGTGTCCATGGCCTCATCCGCAGCATGCACCAGTCGTCCATGGCGGCGGAAAAGGAGGAGACGATCAGGGAGGACGAGACGTTGACGTTGCGGATCCAGAGGACCACCCAGGAGGAGCTCAGGTACCTGGCGATGATGAACGGTGACGGGTGTCAGAGCGACTTCGGCCACATCGACTCGCACGAGAACCAAATGTGGTCGACGTCGTCGAACGATCGATCGTTTGTCGTCGGTCTCGTAGCCTCTGGGGAGGCTAGGGAGCGCCTCGTGGTCCGATGGCCGCTCAGGCTTCGACACCTCAAAAACCAAACGTCGTATACGCAGTAAGTCAGGACACGCTGTGCTGTTCACCTCATGTCTCCCGAGAAAGGGCCTCGAGCTGAATACGCCAATGGGTTTGTTCTCAGCGGTGTCGCCGACATTTTTCGCCAGTGTCAGCGGCGAGGCGGCGAAATCCGCTCCAGCGAGAAGCTAGATAGGGGCACAAACTAGCGAAGTGGCCAGCGAGCAAGGAGGGAATGGGGACGGCCGAGAGGAAGAAGGGACGCTCAGACGCCGAAGAGCTCGACGATGAGCAGCCGGGCGGGCAGCAGCAGCCAGGCGCGCAGGGCCAGGGCGCGGTGGGCGGCCCTGGCGAACCAGCGGTGTCACCGACATGCGAGTCCCCGATGAGTCAGTCCTCTCTCGTTTCTGCCCGAGTATGCTGCAGGCCCGTCGAGGCCGGCGTTCGGGCCACTGCGGGAAGTCTACCTGTGGAGCGTCGTCCGCTTCACACTCGCCGTCCTTGCCATCCCACGCGTCCGATGGCTGCAGGCCCAGCGACGGGTCCCAACGTGGGCCCGACCGGCCCTGACCGGGGCAGCTCCCGGCCTTCGAGCAGCCTTGGCAGACGGAGGCCCGTGCAGTGGTGTACGTCCTGGGCAGCTATGGAGGCGTGCACATCGGGAAGGCACTCCTGCGCGAGACGCCCCCCTCCCCCGGGCTGCTGGGCCGTGTGGCCGCACATGTACGTGCTGTACTTCATCCGCGAGTCGGCCCAGGCCGCCGCCCGTCTCCGAGTTCTACGGCGGAATCTTGGCTCCGTGGTCGTTCCTCTCCGTCCTGCTACGTAGGACAGAGCGCGCCAGCCTTCACTATCTACGAGGCCATGGCAATCAGGCGGTTCAGCCCGAAGTGCAATCAGTGTGACGCCATGGAGTACGAGGCCATCAGCAGGGCGCGTGGGGCTGGCCAGCTCCATGCCATGGAGAAGACTGGCCGAGCCCAACGCCGCCGACCCCCGTCGTGGAGACGTGGACCCCGAGCGGTCACCAGTGCACCAGCATGGACGGCAACGTTCCCCATCGCAGCCAGCGGGCATAGACTACAGGATGCCGAGCAGAAGGTCGCCTCAACTTACCCTGGGGCACTGTCGGAAGCGGCGCCAAACGTGGTCCTCCACCAGCTGCAGATCCGTGAACACCACTACCCCACGCGTGGGATCGGACCGCTGTGGCTATTTGAAGGCCGTAGGTTGGGCCTCTTGCTTGCCTTCCTCGCTGCGAAATGGAAAGACCTGCGCATGTTCGTGCATTGGAGCCGCCTGGAAGTGGGAGCCCACCTCTATTTGGCAGCTTCGATGGCTAGTTTTTTCTCAGGCCATTCCACCGTCTGCGCATGGCCATGCATCACATTGACCTACATGTACGCCGACTCCGCCTACCCAGCGCCAGACGCCCATCCCTCCTACCACCATCAATGTTTCAGGCGGCTGAGTACCGCAGGTGGGTGAGTTCTACTACCACGTCAATGACGAAGACAATGAAGTTCGCCCTGACATGTGAGGTGTACTTGCAGCCACCACCTACGGTCTACGCCAAGAACCCAGGCTGGAAGGATCGTGTCTCGGCGAGCCGCTTCTGCGCGGACTACACCTCGCAGGAGCTGCCGCACCCGCCCGAGGGGCCGCCGTCGTCCCCGTGGCGCCTCCGACGCCTGGACGGGCCATGGCGGCTACCGGTGTGGCATCGCCCACATCGAGCGCTACGCGAGGCACGTGCGGCTCTCAGTGTGGGCAACCAAGGCACGCATACCTCAACGCGTGCTCCGTCGTGGCTTTCGGCATCTCAGCCAGTGGATCACCCACCGCTGAATCGTGCCAGAGGCCCCGCCCGCCGGGCAGGAAGCAGAGCTAGGCATAGCGAACAGCCGGGGTGAGTCCAACGAGTGCGGGATCCTCGCGGACGACAAGGAGTGAGACGAGGTCTGGACGTGCGACGGCTGTGGCATGATGAGGTACCTCCACCAGCTCGCGATGGCGGACCCCGACTGGACCCTGCGGTCAGACACGTCTCCGCGAGGCGCGGCTGTGTGGATGCGGGGCCGCGCAGTGGCTGCACTGCCGCCTTGGCTCCGCACGCCACGCCTCCTGCCACCACCGTCGGCGGACGAGCAGCCGCCGCATGTCTCCCCCACAGTCACACAAAAATGCTTATCTCCCCGAGGCGAGAGCACGTGTCACACACAGTTCCATCGTTGCCTCCGTCGCGTCATCAATTGTTCGCAAGCCCCATAGGGCTTAGGGCGTTCGAATGACTGGCCGAGCAGTTCGTGATTTCCTTTCGCGGAGTGCACTCAGTTCCAGGGTGTTTAACACTAACCAGGCCGCTGATGAAATCCGTCGTCTCCGTCGCTCTCCGATGCTCGCTGTGTAGTTCTGAGCGAAACATTGTTGTAACGGATGCGGACCTGGCATTTGAGAAGTGTAGTGCGTCGGCGGTCTCTGAAGCATGGTCAGGGGTCGCATATGAAGTTGCTCGAAGGCTCGGGGTGGACGCCACCCTCGCAAAGCAGGCTCACACCCCTGAGACCAGGTCCTGGACGAGTTCAACCCACCATGGATGGTGTAAGATTTCGGTGCTTGGCGTGCACCAAGCGTTAGTCGTTTTCTCCTGGATATCCCTGGTGTTCTTGGGTGGTATCATGTGTTAGATGCGGGGACTCCCCATAGGAGGTGCACTATCAGGGGTGGCTTTCTCGGTGCTCACGTGCTGGATTGAACAGCAGACTCAATGTGATGAGGCTCGGCTGGGCGCTGCTGGCTTTCGACAGCTTCCTGGGCAGGATGGGCTCCCCCTTGGACAACGTCTGCACATGGATGACATCATCGGCATGAGTACACTCTACTGCCGTGCTTGAGCATGCATTGCCGGTAGTCCCGCTGCAGCAAGCGAGGGCCCAACGGAGCCGTGTTATCCGAGTGGATCTGGAGCTCCGAGCGGCAGGCCCCAAAGTCATGACCTTCCCCATGAGCCCGAAGCGATCCTGGCCGTCAGGAGATGTGGATGCTCGTCCCCGTGCTGATAGCATTGCGTGGCCTGGCCAGCCCCCACGAAGGTTTGCCGTGGTGGTATCTTTGGTTACTGGCAGGCTTGCTCGGGCCCAGTATCTGAATCTCTCTATTGGGTTTGGAATCCTTATTCCTGCTGGGCTACACCATAGATATCATCCTTACCGCTGCCCACGCTGCCCCGCGGAGTGTGTCTGCTGAAAGGGTGCGAGCAGTCTTGCGAGTTTGGCGATACCACATTCGACACTCCACCTCCACGTCATCACACACCGTGGGTAAAGGATATGATCGCCGTTGGTGCAACGAGCCGTGGAGCGGCAATCGTGGCTACGACAAGAACTACGACCAAGCTCGAGACCGGACCGTGACCGTCGGGACCGCCATGAGAAGCGTAATGAACACTGGGACGAATACCGTGATGACCGTTGCCGCCGTGATCGGCGAAACCGCACGGACTGCGGCTCCAACCGTGATCGTGACCGTAAGCGCGACCGTGATCGCCGGGGCGTCAGCAGCGACCGAGACCGCCGCTCAGAGGGCTCGAGTGGCCACTACGACAAGCATGAGATCGAGACCCTTCGCAATGAGCTCGAGTCCAAGGACAACGAGTACGCCGCCGCCTTCCTTCATGAGGCGTGCCGTGAGCGCGAGCTGGAGCTCCGCAAACAAAGGGAGTACTTAGCGTCGGCGCTCAAGCTGGCCTTCACCAACCAGACAGAGGAGCTACGCAAGGCAGTGGCACCCGACTACTGCTCCCCTGCATCACCTGCTCGTTCAATGTCCGCGATGCGCACAGAGGTGAAACTTCCTGCCAAGGGCACCCGTGAAGATAGCCAGGCCCACGCTCCGAAACGGTGGCGAGCGACAGGCACACCACGGCTGGCCAACAAGATCATCCTCGCGCGTGCCCCCCGCAAGCAGCTCCCAGGCTCCCACACGGACAAGGCTTCGATGCTCGTGCTATGCTGTCCTGGGGAAGTTTGGCTGAGTGTTTTCCGCCGTCGATGCTCTGAATCCCCAGGCCCCTAGGCAAAAGCGAAGTTCTTCTGCTCTTGGGGTCCTTGTGGGCTTCCTCGTATATGTTATCAGCCCTGCCGAGGAGACCCGCCATCTAGATGTGACTACATCTCACTGGGTGCTAAACTGGTCTCCTGCTCGAGAGGCGTATCGCATTCAGATGATCCTGAATGCATTCGAGATGCCGTTCACAGTGTGCAGGTCGGGGGAAAGTGCCCTAGCCCAGAGTGCAGTTTCAGGAGCTATGGGGCAGGCTCAGCAGTGCTCTAGGGTATGCCTGCGGGGTTCCTGTGCCAGCAGCTTTGTTACCAGCCTCCCGTCACCATACCCTCCAGTGGCCCTGCCATCGTGAAGTGCTCGAGGTCAACTGACCCCGGGTGCTGATCAGCAGGGCCCGTATGGTGGGGTCCTCACCCCTCCCTCCCCTCCCCAGGATATTCACCCTCAGCAGGGTACTCAACCTCCCCTCATCCCCACCCCACCTACGGCGATGGCAACAAGGCGATGCGGAGGCGCGCCACGGCCCCCGCAGCCTGTCTTACGTAGAAAGACCCCCTCTCTCTCTCTCTCTCTCTCCCTCGCTACCTCTCTCCATGTTGGAACCTACCACCCCCACCCACGTTCCTTACCCATGCTCGGCGCTGGTGTTTGGCCGTGTTGAGGCGCACCGTTGCCCACTCTTGTTGGTTGGCGGGGTTATCTCTCTCGTTATCTTCCTCTCTCTCTCTCTCGCCCGCCCTCATCTTGCAAATTTACACCTATCCTCTTGCACCGATCATCTCTCATCGTTTGGTGCACTGCTTCAATTTCCCGTGCTCGAGCGTTTCATCAGGGTCCGTGCTTGCCCACGCGATGCTCACAACAAAAATTCGGTGGTCGCCATAGCCCGTGAAGAATAACGCAGACATGAATCTCTCTCGCTCTCTCTCCCGCTCTCTCTCTCTCTCTCTCTCTCATGAAACCCTCTTTTCCTCCTGTAAGGGCACAACTGGGTGGAAGTTCCCAAGTCGTCGGGAGTGGTGCCGGGGAAAAGGCGGTAGAGTATTTGGTGGGGAGCCTGTTGGGTGAGTTCATCTTGGGGAGGGAACCAGTTGAGTACTGGGAGTGCTGTTGAAGACGGAGGCTGTGGAGTACTGGGTGTGGTGGTGGAGACGGAGGGGATTTAGTAGACAGATGCTTGTAAGTTCATGTTGAAAAAGGAGCCTGTTGAAAATTGGGAGTGTTGGAGACGGGAGCTGTGGAGTACAGGGTGTGGTGGTGGAGACGGAGGGAGTTGAGTAGAAGGATCTTTTCAAGTTCGTCTTGGGGATGGAGCCTGTTGAGTATTGGGTGTGGTGTTGGAGACGACGGCTGTGGAGTACTGGGTGCTGTGGTGGAGACGGAGGGAATTGAATAGAAGGATCTTGTCAAGTTCATCTTGCGGAGGGAGCCTGTTGAGTATGTTTCGCGGGTTGTATTACGACGCCAAGCTCTGCGCAACCACTGGGTGACGGCACTGGGCCACATAAACGCGACCCGGGAACTGTGTGCGAGTACCGCACGTCTGTACACTAGTGTACTAATCATTTGCAGGTCGACTTGTGTCCCCGTCCAGGCGCCACAGCGAGAGGCGGCGGAAAGCACCGTAGAGCCTGAAAAGTACTCAAGACCAGCCTTTCCAAGGTCACCCAGAAGGCAGGAAGAGCGGCGAGGAGGAGGAAGAGGAGGAGGAACAGCCGACCCTCATATGATATGAATTTGTTGTGAAACGTATCCTGCATGCGGTCGCACAGAAAATTGCTTTCTGGCACTTCCCGAAAGGCCCAGGCGGCCACATCGAGAATCCCAACGAATCATGAAACAGGAGAGAGGAAGACGAGGAGGGAAGGGGAGAAGAGAGACAGGAGGCTGTGGAGTGGTATGGTCTGGTGGTGGAGACGGAGGGAGTTGAATAGAAAGCTCTGTTCAAGTTCGTCTTGGGGAGGGAGCCAGTCGAGTACTGGGAGTGCTGTTTGAGACGGAGGCTGTGGAGTACTGGGTGTGGTGCTGCACACGCAAGGAGTTGGGTAGAAGGATCTGTTCGAATTCATGTTGGGGAGGGAGCCTGTTGAGCATTGGGTGTGTTGTTGGAGACCGAGGCTTTGAAGTACTGGGTGCGGTGGTGGAGACAGAAGGAGTTGAGTGGAAGGATATGTTCAGACTCATATTGGGGATGGAGCCTGTTGGATAGTGGGAGTGGTGATGGCGACGAAGGCTGTGGAATACTGGGTGTGGTAGCGGAGACGGAAGGAATTAGTAGAAGAATAGGGGAGCTGGTAGAAGCGGCTGCACCTGCAAGGGGCGAGCATCGCTCCGAGCGGGACCCGAACAACTCTTGAAAAAATGAGCCTCGAAAAATGAATGCGGAAACCGAACGAATGGAATATACATAAATATAATGAATGTCAAAATGCGGGGATCACTGGTGCCTGCGGAAAGTGAAATACAGATATCGCTCTCACAGAACAGATACGGTGTGTGTATATATATATATATATACCTGCCTGCCTCTCTCTCTCTCTCTCTCCCCCCCTATGTGTGTCGCTCCCTCTCTCCACCTATACGCATTTACGCGAATGCCTACGGCTCTGCATGTACAAGCACATTACGCGCCCATACACAAGGCAACAGCCCTGTACACTCTATATGTATGCCCAGGGCACCGGCAAATGCATACAATAAATCGGAAGACGGATACAAACGTGTATGTATACAACTATAGCAAGCCTCCCTTTTTTTAATATTGCTGTACACAGTGTGAATACATACACTACGTCCCTCTGCGGCTGTCCTTTCTGGCCGACGCCGCATCGCCGCGCATTGTGGACATGTACGAGACCTACGCGCTAGAGACTGGGCCAGGTTGGGGAGATGGAGGCGGGAGAGAAGGGGATAACAGTTGAATCGGGGACAGAGCAAAAGCACAGTAGACGCAGTCTGGGAGGAGCAAGAGAGGAAGGGGGAGGAGGAGGAGGAGGAGGAGGAGGAGAAGGAGGAAGAAGAGGAGCAAACAGAGGAGGAGAAGGAGGGACAGGAGGAGGAACAGGCGAGGAGGAGTGGGAAGAGAGGGGCGAGGAGTGGACGTGTGGGCGTGGAGGGAGGATGGGCGGAGGGCGGAAGGGAGATGGAAGGAGGAAACGGGTAAGGGGAAGCGCGGGACGGGAACTATGCGGGGGAGCGGATGGGGGCCAGTGGTCGTGCTCGGGGGTGCGGTGGCGGTGGGGTGGCATTGGAAGGGGGCGCAGGGCTCTGGAAACGGAGTGGAGGAGGGACCTGACAAAGGGAGGGTGTGGGGAGTGGCTTGGACGGGAGGCGCGGGGGAAGGCGGCGAGGGAGATGAGGGCCTGAGGAGGGGCTCGAGAGTGGGAAGGGGAGGCAGGGAGAGGCGAGGTCGGAGGAGGGGGGAGAGGCAAGCTAGGTGCGCTCGCGTCAAATCTGGCGTCCTACCCCTCCCTCCCATCCCTTACCGCGGCGTAGATCTCCTCTCTGTTCGCACAATCGGATGTCGCAGCATGGCATAGAATTACTTACATGGCATAGCATTACATGGCATAGCATGGTGTTGAAGATCAACGCGTAGCATGACATAGCATGGCGTGGCGACGCAACAAAATGGGGGGGAAGGCTTCTGCGGCCCAAACTAGTCAGAGAACCGACACCGAATCACTTCCGATAGTTTTTTCGGGGGGGGGGGGGGGGGCATTTTCTAGAATTGGGGCCGATTTGGAAGGACCGAAACCATGCCGTGGCATGGCGCTGGAAATAATGACGCCAGCGCTGCATCGGGACGAGCGGTAGCCCGAAAATGAGGCCAACGCTGCAGCGGGAGCACGATCCGGAACGAGCGGTAGCCCGAAACTGAAGCCAACGCTGCAGCGAGAGCATCACTTTTATCTATATATGTATATACACACATGTATATATGTTTATACATGTGTATATACATATATATATATGATACATGTACATGTGTGTTATTTATTTATGCATGTATGTATATATACAGATATCTACACACATATATATGTATATATATAAATATTAGGACGCGTAGCCCGACACAGCACGGCGTGGCGACGTCCCGAAGTGTGGGGGGCTTCTGCGGCCCAAAATATCAACGAATCGACACCGAATGTGGAATCACTTTCGATGTTTTTTTTTTCTGGGGGGCATTTTCTAGAATTGGGGCCTATTTGGAAGGACCGAGAATCATGCCGTGGCATGGGCATGGCGCTGGAAATAATGACGCCAGCGCCGCAGCGGGAGCACGATTCGGGACGAGCGGTAGCCCGAAAATGATGCCAACGCTGCAGCGGGAGCACGATCTGGAACGAACGGTAGCCCGAAAATGAAGCCAGCGCTCCAGCGAAAGCTGCATTTTGGAGAAAAAATAACTCAAGCGAAAACCCGCTTCCCGGGAATCCTGCTCACAAATCAGTACACGGAGGGGGGCCAAGCATTTCCCGGACGCCGCCAGGAGAGAGAGGAGAGTAGTATTCCTAGTGTGTAATTGTAGAAGGAGGAGGAGGAGGAGGAGGAGGAGGAGAAACAAGGAGGACGGCAAAGGAGGAAGCAGGAGAGAGAGGAGGAGGAGGAGGAGGAGGAGGAGGAGGCGTAGAAGGAAAAGGAGGAGGAAGAAGAAAAAAGGGAAAACAAGGAGTGGAAGGGAGGAGACCAGGGATGAGGAGGATAAAGAGAGGAGGGGGGGAGAGAGAGAGAGAGAGAGAGAGAGCGCGCGATGACGGTCCGGCGGGACCGGCCCTATGAGGGCGGCGCGGGGGGGCCGGAGCCCTCAGTAGTCGGCCTGGGACTGGTGGTCGATCTGGATAGAGGTGGTGTGGGGCGTCGGATGTTGGAGGCTGGATGTCTGGATGTTGATCTAGTGTAGTCTGGAGCCCAATGGGTGGACGTGGAAGTGGGAAGACGGGTGCTGGAGGTCGATAGGTGGGGGTGGAGGTGGAAAATCGGATGCTGAAGGCTGGATGTCGGAGTGCTGAGCCGGTGGACGCTGGAAACTCGGATGCTGGAGATTGGGAGCCGGAGTGCTGAGCTGGTGGACGCTGGAGGTCGATAGGTGGAGGTGGAGGTGAAAGTCGGATGCTGGAGGCTAGAGGTCGGTGTGCTGAGCTGGTGGACGCTGAAGGTCGATAGGTGGAGGTGGAGGTGAAAGTCGGATGCTGGAGGCTGGAGGTCGGAGTGCTGAGCTGGTGGAGGCTGGAGGTCGATGAGCGGACGTAGGACTGCAGAGTCAGAGGTCAGATGTTCGAGGTCGGAGCGCTGAGTTGGAGGTTGGTGGTCGGAAGGTAGAGGTGGAAATGGAAGTCGGATGCTGGGCGAAGTCGGATGCTGGAGGCTGGAGGTCGGAGTGCTGAGCTGGTGGACGTTGGAGGTCGATAGGTGGAGGTGGAAGTGGAAAGTCGGATGCTGGAGGCTGGGGGTCGGGGAGCTGAGCTGGTGGGGAGTGGGGGGGCCATGGGAGGCCAGAAGTCGATAGGTGGAGGTGGGAGTGGGCGTCGTAAGCGGATAAGGGTGGGAATGCAGAATCGGGAGGTGGAGGTCGGAAGTTTGAGGCCGGCGTTCGGGTCCAGCTTGTTGTGGATCATCTGCAAGACGGAACCGGAATCGGAGCCGAAGAAAACGAAGCTGGAGAATGTGATGATGGTCTGGTCGGCGTAACGAAACGGCACGTACATGTGAACAGAAAATAAAAACTGTTACGTGCTGATGAGAATCATCACTCGTAGGCGTGGGCGCAATTGTCCGAATCCATGTACCGGCGCATGTGTTGTAAGAAAAAGTGTCCCTGATGGTCCCACCATGTCTGATTCTGTGCCAGTTCCCACCACTGTGTTTCGCAATCGTTAATATGATTGCTACGCAAATAAGATACGATGTCGTCTTCCCAACACTTTCGTTGCCCTCCGTGTCTGCGAAAAGCTGGTCGTGAGTCGTGTACGCTGGGGTCCCAGGTCGCACTCAGACGAGTCCATCGCTCAATATCGTGATTGGCGGCTCGTGCTGCAAAATTCCACTTTCTCTTAAAGTATACATCAGTCCATTCGTCGACCTATGCGCGCTTCGCAAGAGCCACAGCGGTGGATGTACTTCTTCGTAGGAAGTGGACCCATGATTCCATGTCGTCGTCATCATCTTCGCTGTGGTTTTGGCTGCGTTGCTCGGTGCAGGCGTCGGTGCTGGTGCCAGCGCTGGTGTCGGTGTTGTTGCTGTCGGCGATGGTGATGAAACTGCTGTCGGTATCATTTGTCTTTCTTCTGTGCTCGGTCGAGGTTCGTCTCCTCGGCGTCCCAATTACAAGCCTCAGCATTTTCCTCTGCGCCCGTCGTAAAGTGGGGAGAGAGGGGGGAGGGGAGGAGGGGAGGAGGGGGGAGAAGGAGGTGGAGGAAGAGGGAAGTGGAGGAAGAGGGAAGTAGGAGAGAAAAAGAAGGGGAAGATAGTGGGGAAAGGGAGGAGGAACCAGCGTCGGAACAACTCTGGCACCTACGGGAAGAGGAGGCGGAGGAGGAGGAGGACTAGTGTAAACCCAGGACTCATCAACAATGTTGGCATATGGCATCCCTCCAAGCTCCCTCTTCACAGGCCCCGCTTGTTTATATATATATATATATATATATATATATATATATATATAAAAAATGCCCACTGGGGGAAGCCCTGTTGGAGGACAACTGTGTGAAAATCCTGACGCGCGCTAAAGCACCAGCCTCAGGACTTCAACGCCACGAGTCAAACTGACTGTTGCGTCTTGACGGTCCTGCACTGCGGACGAACATCATTCCTGGGCCTTCAACAGACTGCGAATCAACGTAGCTGTTGCGCCCTGACAGGCATGAACCGCTCCAAAACATCGGCTCTGGCACGTTAACCAAAAAACTCATGAATGTATTGCAAATGTTTGAAACGAATGTGCGCGGCACGAAAGCGATAAACACCTTTCGAAAATGAACCGCCCTCAATCCTTGAAACTCTGGCAACATCGTCAAACGAATGTGCGCGGCGATAAAGCGAGCGCCAGAGTTTGAATACCATCCGCCTTTAAATGCATGAAACCCTTGCAAAGTTTGGAAACAAATATGTGCGGCGCTAAAGCGAGAACCACATATTGGACCCTCCATCTGGGCAACTGATGTCAGCTTGTAAGCTTCAGGCTCATAAGTGGTGAGGGCGTCTCAAGCAAACCGCCCAGCCCGCCATTCCGACTGGCCCCGGGGTGCGACAGGGAGGAGCTCTTCACAAGGAACAGGGATGGAGAAGGAGGAGAAAGAGGAAGAGGAGGAGGAGGAGGAGGAGGAGGAGGAGGGGGAGGGGGGAAACGGAGGATGAGGATCAGCGGCGCCAGGGCAAAGGGTAGCAGCAGCACCACCACGCCAAAAGGGGCAACGGCAGCAGCAGGCGGCACGCAGGCAGCAGCGCAGACCACGTCGTCGTCGTCGCCGACGACGTCGTCGCCGCCGCCTCGTCGTCGTCGGATCTACGCTCGGGAGCCTTTGTTCGCGCGTCGCGGCGGCGGCCCTGGCGACACGCCGTGCCCTACAAGCGAGTAGCGCGTGCGGAGTGGGAGGCTGGGACGAGCCCAGGACATCGACGCTTGGAAATGGGGACGTTGCTACACGGTCGCGCCGAAGCGTGGTGGGCCAGAACCACCGGAGCGACACGCTAAGCAACAGTTCCTGAGTGTAGCCAGCATCAAAAAAAGCAACCCCACAAGCGGAGCCCTTTTATCAAACGCTCCTTGGGGAGGGCATCGGACAGGGCAAGGCTGTTCAGCAAACGCCCTGGACCATGTTCAGCAGGCACCGAAGATGGGGGCTGGGGTGGTTTTTGCTCCTGCTTGTCAGATGAGCAAGAGAAGCACAAACACAAACTCTAAGAGGTCCGCGCGGAGTTCTTGAACCGGCGCTGGAGGCGCCGCCAGGGAGGTGCAGCGCCAAGAGGAGAAGGGAGCTCCCCATACCTCCTCTCTTAACGGGCGAAGAACGGTATAAAATTAATTTTTTGTTGTCGGGGGCGCCTGTCCCTGGGCGGCTGGAAAGTTTATACCCCTACGGTGCCACCGTAAGGGTATAAACTTTCCAGCCGCCCAAGGACAGGCGCCCCCGACAGCAAAAAAGTTGATTTTATACTGTTCTTCGCTCGCTGACTCTCGCTGCGAAAGTATCGGTCGCTGGCGGCCCTCGCCGGGCCTCCGGCGACCGAGAACTTACTTGGCAGCTCTCGGCCGCTGGAGGGTCTCTTTAAATTCTCGGTCGCTGCGGTCCTTGCCGGGCCCTAGGGCCGTGAAAAGACGACTCGGGAAGAACAGCCAGTCCAGAGGGAAAGAGGCCAAGACCCGCGGGGGTCCATGTGTTTCTTTCAGTCCTGTTGAATGGTAACAATATTCAACCAACAATAGGAATACTGATAACATGATCAGTAATCATCACACATTAAATTGAACTAATACTACAATCTTCATATACGAATCGGAATCGCAATAAAAATAGTGTTAATCAAGCTGGTAACTAAGTATAGCAGCAGCAACGGCGACAACGACAACAACAAGAACAACAACAACGACAACGACAACGACAACGACACAAACAGCACCAACAACAACAATAACAACAATAACAACAACAATTACTAGCACGTGGGGACACACCGTTCTCACCAGTGCCAGGGTTTTCATAGGAGGCGGGCAATACCCCCACTTTGTGGGGGGGCCGGTTCAAGCTCTACCAAATTTCCAAACGACTCTTCGCCACCACCCACACCCAGCTTCCCGCCCTATGACGTTCGGACACTTCACTTCGTGGCATGCGGACGACCGTGGCTACTATTCAGGGCCCCGCGGCCGACGACGACGGCGTGCGCGCGCGAAGAAAAAACGAATGTGTCCCGCATGGTATTATTTGACAGGGATGATGGCCCTGGCAGGTGCGCAACCGTTGTTGCAGAAGTTCGAAAAAGTTGCTCGCAAAAGCCCGTTTGACAGAAATGTTTAAAAAGTGTTGGGTTTCCTACGAATCCGCAAGAGCGCGCGGGATGAAATTTTGACATGTTTTTTTGAAAAACCATTGGTTTTTTGATGTTTTTATGTTAAAATCGCTACGAAAACTAAGGTTTTGGAAGGATTTCGTCTTGCGCGCGCGAATGTCCACTTTACCTTATTTGTTGCAAGGGATTCTTGAAGTTTGGTTATGTTAGAACAAGAAATGTCCACTTTAGCTTATTTTTTGCAAGGGAAAACCGATCGTAACAACACAACCGGATCTGGATCACATCGTTTTACCTGGGACTTCCTCACGAAAATGATGAAAATGTGGCTGCGGCCTAGGCGCGGCGGGGGGGGCGCGCACCAGGGGTCCCAACAATAATTATTCTTAAGAAGAAATAATGTTCAACAACAACAACAACAACAGCAACAACAACAACAACAAAAATAACAACAACAACAACAACAACAACAACAACAACAACAACAACAACAACAACAACAACAACAACAACAACAACAACAACAACACCAACAACAACAACAACAACAACGCTAGCAACAACAACAAAAAACGCGGCGTCGGAGGTGCGGCTCGGGCGAGAAGCGCTCCGACAACAAGCGGCCGCCCGCTGAGTCGGGGTCGTACGGCGAGCCCCCCCCCCCGCCCATGGACCCCAGAATTCTCGGCGTCCAAGACCTCGGTTCGAGGACCCGTTGCTGCAAGGGCCTGGGCCTACCTCCTCCTTCTCAATGCAGGTAGACCAATGACACTGTTGGATCCAGATTCTGAATCGCCGGAGAGGTTCAAGGTGGTTAATTGGCGTCGAGTCCGCATCCAAAGACGAGGTGAGCTCCGACGACTCGACTAGTGCGCGTTCCACAGCCAGCTCTTTCCGAATCGGTGTCACACGAACTGGAAACCTCCTCCCGGCTCCAGCAGTTCGGAACGACAGTCGGGCCGGCTGGCTAGAGTCAAGGGTCGACCTCTGGACCTCCCCCGGGTTGGCGTTCCAGCCAGCCTTCGAGGCGCACCCACCCGTGGTCACAGGGCCGACCCAGGAGCGCAACGAGAGCCATCAGAAACGCATGGAAACCGCGATCCTCGAACCTCGATCCAATGGTGCGTCTCTCTCGAGTCGCCAGAGGCTGGCTGGGGGTTTATATATATGGTGTCGAAAGATCTCGACGACGGGAGCACCGACTTGGAGCCCCGTCCACTGCTCCGAGGCCGTGGGCTCTTTCATCAAAAAGGCCTCATCCTCCTCCTTCTGCTCCTCCTCCTCCTCCTCCTCGGTGAGCGGCGATTGGAGGGGAGAGGGGATAGCATGGAGGATGGCATGTCGGCCTCGAGTTCCTGGGCACTCCTTATACTCCCACCTCGCCCTCACTCCATCCGCCTCCTCTGCCTCTTCCTCCTCCTCCTCCTTCTCCTCCTCATCCTCCTCCTCCTCCTTCTCCCCCTCCACGTCTGTCCTCCTCCTCCTCATCCTCCTCATCCTCCGCCTCTTCTTGCCTAAATGATTATCCTCCTCCCCCTCCGCCTCCTCTTCCTCATCCTCCTTTTCCTCCTCCTCCTTCTCCTTTTACTCCTTTTGCTACCCTGAGATCCAACGTCATGATAAAATTGCAACACCATCGAAAATTCGACCGGCGCCCTGGACCCCATCTTCCTGCTGCATTATTCGAGCTGGGCCGATCTACGCGCGAAAAAATGCGACATTGTCGCAACGTGGCTCCCCTGAGGTCTAGACCTCTGTCCTGATCACCCTGAACTGATTTCTGACGGACCCAGGGCCCGATGCGGAGACGACGACGACGACGACGACGACGACGACGACGACGAGGACGACGACGGCGGCGACGACGACGACGAAGGCGGGGACGACGAAGAGGACGACGGCGGCGGCGGCGGCGGGGGCGGCAGCGGCGGGGGCGGAGGGGTGGGCGGGCTGCCCGTAGCAGCGGGGCCACTCCGCTGCTCGAGGAGCTGCTTTCCTGCGGTCGTCGTCGTCGTCGTCGTCGTCGCCGCCGCCGCCGTCGTCGTCGTCGTCGTCGCCGTCGTCGTCGTCGTCTGGCTCTGGGGGCCGTCGGGGCCTCTTGGAACTCCTGGAGACACCTGGGGCCACGGGCCATTGTGTGAAAGAGGAGCACAGGGAGGAGGAGGAGGAGGACGAGGAAGAGGAGGAGGAGGAGGAGGAGGAGGAGGAGGAGGAGGAGGAGGGAGAGGAGGAGGAGGAGGAGGAGGGAGGAGGAGAAGGAGGAGGGAGAAGAGGAGGAGGAGGAGGAGGAGGAAGACGATGACGACGACGATTACGACGACGGCGACGACGACGACGACGACGACGACGACTACGACGACGACGACGACGACGACGAGCCCCAGCGCCATCAGAAAGCGGCCGACGCAAAAGCGGTCCCCGAGAAGGGGTCGAAAGCCTCGGGGCCTAAGCTCTGAAGCTTCTCTCAGAGGCTCTGGGGGCTCTGCACGAGGCTTTCCCAAAGGTTGTGAAGAGTCTCCCAGAGGTCTTAGGCCACTCGGGCGTCGTGACAACTAGAAGCAAGGCCTGGACAGGGGGATTGCGAAGGCGATGTGCCATTCGGGGAAGAGATGTTGAAGTGCCTTGGAAGAGGTGCTGTCAAGACCTCCTCGGGCGGAAGATCAGGGAGAGGAAATATCGGACCCGTGTGCAAGAAAAATCTCCCATGAGGGTGAGCTATCAATCACGGATGCATGTTGCATATAGAAACATAGAACATTCGGGAAAAAGGGTTGTTGTTGCTGTTGTTGTAAGCAGATTGTCCCTGGTAGAAGACAGGGTGCGGGCCCTGGGAGGATCATTTTGATTGAAAAACGCACGGGTCACCCGAGAAGGAAATCAACAACAAGTTTTCTTCGGAATTGAGGAAGTATCAACACCAACAGCAACAATCAGTTTAAGACGATTCGCTCCTATCTGATCGCGTGCCACTTTACACGCGTAGGTATCCCAAAGCCTCGGTACCCGCCCTCTTCGTCTTCGATCGTACCTCCTCGAGGGTACATCTTCCTTGCCTGCCACGTGCATGTAGCGCAGCCCCTGAAAAAAAAAAACATGGGAAGAGAGGATGGATGGAAGGGGGAGGGAGAAAGATGGAGCACGAGAGAGAGAGAGAGAGATTGACAGGAAGGGGGCTAGGAGCAGAAAATACGTGGCATAACCAGACGGGTTGATCGGGCGGGTCGGGAAGGCGGGCCCAGGTGGCCAGGTCGAGCAGGCGGGCTGCTGAAGCGTAAGTCCTGCATGGATCGCGAGAAGTCTCGAGCGATAGCCCGATTCGCAAGTAAATCGCAAGAAATGCCCCAGCGAGAGCGTGATTCCTGAGTGCAGAGGGCGCGGCGTGCGAATAAACTGGCAGGACGTCCCACGCGGGAGCGCGATTCCTGCATACATTATGAGGAAGGCCAACGCGAGAGCACGGTTTTCAAATAGATTGTGAAGAAATATTAAGTGTCCATCAACATAGTTTGAGCATGAAGGTTTTCCCTGTATTTTCTTGCAAAACAAATTTTAGAAATATACACCAAAAAACAGCGCGAGCCCCGAGGGGGGCACTTCCTGAGAGTTCAACGGTGGCAGCAGCAGCAGCAATGGCGGCGGTGACCCTGACAGAATCAGCCAGCACCGAATCGGAAAATACGATCGAAGCGACATGCATGAGCACGAAGTCGGAATCGGGGTGCATCGGCCAGGAGTCGAAATCGAACTAGACAGGCCGCGCAGAGAAGCACAACGGCGCCCGTGTGAGCATCGGGCTGCACAGGGACGCAGGAACACCAGACTGGATCGGATCGCTTGAGCGAAAGTATATGATTGATCGGATCCAGCTGCCCAAAGATCCGACGTCACAACTATATATATATATATATATATATATATATATATAGATGTGTGTGTGAAGAAGATCTGGCCGGAGCCCTGCACCCCATTTGCGGCACATTTCGAGCCGGATCGATCCGTAGGGTCCCAAGGCCCGAAACAAAGCCAAGACCCGTGAGGGCCTGGGGCCCGAAAAATATGCGACGCCAAGAACTCCGTCGTGATTTTTGTTGCAACGTGGCTCCCCAGAGGTATGCAACCCTTCCCAGGGACCCGCTTCTCGTTCTGTGTTGTTTTTTGGCGGACCCAGGGCCCAGCGCAGGCCCCCAGAAGCCGAAAATTAGCAAAAACCTGATCGTGCTTCTTTCGCAACGGAAGAATGTCCAGGCCCCCCCGACGGCGACGGCAAGATCGCCTAGTGCGAAAAAATGCGACACCGGCATCTCAAGTCAAGGTGGGCCCTGCCCCAGACATCCGGCCCTCCAATGTTTCGGTGCGTGGACCCCCCAAGGTCTGGACCACCTCTCCACTGAGATCCGCGCTGGGGTTACTCAGGGGGCCTGGAAGGTAGCAGTGAATGCTAAGTGGGCTACGCGTGCCCAAAGCTTTTTAGGGTGACCAGAAAACTCCTCTGGGAGGAGGAAGAGGAGGAGGAGGAAGAGGAGGAGGAGGAGGAGGAGGAGGAGGAGGAGAAGGGGGAGGAGGAGGAGGAGGAGCAGGAGGAGGAGCAGGAGGAGGAGGAGCAGGAGGAGGAAAAGGAGGCGGAGAAGGGGAGGAGGAGCAGGAGGAGGAGAAGGGAGGAGGAGGAGGAGGAGGAGGAGGAGGAGGAGGAGGAGGGAGGAGCAGGAGGAGGAGGAGGAGCAGGAGGAGGACAGGCTCCGCCCACTTAGACCCACTCTAGGACCCCCGAAGGCCACACAGATCCCTCTCTGGTACCCGCCTCTGCGCCCCCCCTCCCCTGCGCAACCCCAGCGGGGATCTCGGCATGGCCGGCAGCTCGTCCCGAACGAATTGCTGCTGCTGCCACAAGGGGGCCCAGCCAGGGCCCCCCAAGAGGAGGAGGAGGAGGAGGAGGAGGAGGAGGAGGAGGAGGAGGAGGAGGAGGAGGAGGAGGGGAGGAGGGGAGGAGGAGGAGGAGGAGGAGGGGGGAGGAGGAGGGAGGGAGGGAGGGAGGGAGGGAGGGAGGAGGGAGGAGGGAGGGAGGGAGGGAGGGAGGGAGGGAGGGAGGGAGGGAGGGAGGGGGAGGGAGGGAGGGAGGGGGAGGGAGGAGGAGGAGGAGGAGGAGGAGGAGGAGGAGGAGGAGGAGGAGGAGGAGGAGGAGGAGGAGGAGGAGGAGGAGGAGGAGGAGGAGGAGGAGGAGGAGGAGGAGGCGCGTAGGAGGAGGAGGAGGAGGAGGAGGAGGAGGAGGAGGAGGAGCTCCGGGCAAGTGGGCCCCGCCCTGGCGAACAAGACGTCCTCGTGGCAGGTCGCCGGCTGGCCCCGGTGGCCGAGGTGCTGGCCCAGGAGCGCCGCCGGCGCCAGGGCCTCCCATCGCCCCCACGCGGCCGCCCGAGGGCCGCCGCCCGAGGGCCGCCGCCGAGGTGGCCGCCGAGGGGCCGCCGAGCAGGCCGCCGAGGACCGCCGACGCCCGCCGGCGGACCGGTGGCCCAGACAGGCTCGCGTCGTGGGGTGGTCGCGTCGGGAGGCTCTGGCCGTGTCCGGCCCCGGCGGGCCCTCGCGGGGCCCCAGGACAGCCAAGAAAGGACTCGGGCCGAGGAACCGGCCCGAGGGAAAAGGGTCGGGAATTCCGGGGACCACGCGCTGCAGAAACCAAGAGATATCGCATGTCTGGGAAGGCTGCCAGTGGCGCGCGGACATCCTGACGTCTGTGCGCCACCCCACGAGGTAGTCCCCGCTGGCCTCAACAGGCTCCCCCCGAGTGGTCCGGAGAGGTCCCAGCCTCCACCGCCGCCTCCGGCGGCACCCCTCGGACGCTCCGCGCCCCAAGGTTGGGATTGAGACCGCCCCAGGCTACTCGGGGGGGCTATGGAGACCAGCGGGGGCCACCTGAGGCGGCCGACGGTGCGCAACCCGAAGCCTCATCCACGACGGGCACCAGGGCCCACACCTCCTCGCGTCAGGAGCAGGTCACGGCGGCAGGGTCTTGGTAGCCTCCGGGGTCCCACGCCGGGCCCAGGCCGTGCTGTGATCACAGGACGGCGCGGGAGAAACCGGTCCCGGGGAAGTAGTCGGGCCCTTCCAGGGGCCATTGGCTGCGAAAGGATCACGACGTCGGATATCTGATTTTGCCGAACGGGCGCCGAGGGCCGCCGACGAACCCGGGGATGCCGACGGCCGTCAGCGAGGCCTTCTTCTCTCGTAGCAACAGATAGGCATGGCAACGAGAGAAGAAAAACAATGAAAACAACCAAACACCAAAACAATTATACTGGCGAAGGACCCCACCAGATGCAATTGCGCGTACCACGTTGTATCTGCTGCTGCCACTGGCGTTGGGCATCAGGAAATCCTCTCCCAGAACATCCTGCATCGTTGGCACTACCAGAGCTGACGCGTTGGCAAGTGCTGCTGACGAACCGTGTCGTCTGAACAACCCCCACCACGCAAGGGTATGAAAGGTCGAAACAGACGCACTCATTATTCGGCACCACTGTTGCGAGCCGTCCCAGGCTTTACTCACGTCTCGGCGAGGCACGACCAGGACAGGCGGCTTGGGAGCTCGGGAGTCTGTGCCTCCTCCTCCTCCTCCTCCACCTCTTCCTCTCTGGTCTGCCTTTTTGTCTATGTTCCACTCTGTTCACGTACTCGCGGAGTGGGGTAAGCACTGTTGGAGGTGCAAGGGGCGTGCCTCACACGACACTGTCACCCAGTGGCGCCTGACCCTCTGGTTCAAGCTCGCTTCTGGAAACTCCCAGGTCTTGCCTATTCCTCGAAGGAGATCCTGGCAACCGTGTAGCGGCTGTCGACCCATTGCGCAGATGGCCTATCATGCAGACTCCGCGGGTCTGGTCTTGCTCGGCTTGCGGTCTCTTTTGAAGGACGGCTGCGTATCGAAAGAATCGGAGAGCGTGTTGCACATGCGCCCTCTCCAGCACCAGACGAGAGTATCTCAGACGGTCGGGTCGAGGGCTGCTTCCGAAAGCGCCAAACCGCGCACAGTAGACAGCATATGCCGCTGGTGGTCATGGGCTTCGGATATCACCTTGCGATGGCGTCCACTCCACTCCACTTTATTCCTCCTGATGTTCCTCCTCCTCCTCCTCAATCGCAGCATCATAAGCATCATCAGCGTCAACAGTATCATCAGCATCATCAGCAGCATCATCATCCCTCTCTCCTCTCTCCCCTTCCTGGCGAACAGCACGGTGAGGGAATTGTATGAGGAATGATGAACCAGTGGATAAGGGAATCCAGGGTCTGAAGCAGGTGGAACTTCGATCGTGGCTTCGCCATGGATATCACCGCCGCCCGCATCAGATAAGGAATCCCCCAGGGTCTACAGCCTCCTGGGCACATTCCTTAACGGACGCTCCCACCGTACTCGCGACAGGAGACATGTGTGTTGTTTCCGAAACGGGCATTACACAGGGGGAGGGAGCATCGGGCCCCAGGTAACAGTAACGCTTGGGCGGGGTGGGCCACTTCTGAGCGGGGGTGTGCTGCGATCGCATCAGCTGCCTGCCCCGCCAAGCGCAAGTACTTGCCACGTGGTCATGCGCGCAGATGGCGGCCGCAGTCGGTCGCGAATAATTGCTCCCAATCACCCTATGGCAGCAAGGTGGTTGTGTAACAAAAATCATGGACCCCCCCCCCAGGACTTTTATACACCACCCCGAAGTATACACCACGTGAATGTGTTATTTCTTGCGCGTTCAACCGCGTGTCCAAATGACGCTGCACACGCAACATGTCATTACCGCGAGACTTGACACACCCTGCAACCCACCGCCGAAACAATAATCCGATCAACCCCGATGACAGAAAACCAGCCCACGGTGGTGATGTATATGCGTCGGTCGCGGAGTCTAGCCCCCCCTACGCACGATCGTCACCCTTACCCGTGAGGACGGAAGGGGGTTGGCCCTTCAACGACCATCTCCAGTTCAAGTTGCTGGCGTGAAACCCTGCAAGCACGCTCTCCCCCATCCGCCCCGTGCACCGCGCGGCTTCGCGCCAGGCGGGCAAACTGCATAGGGCAGCCTGGGGACGCCATTGGGGGAGAACCGAGGAGCAGAGAGGGGATGGAGAGACCCAACTTCCAGCGTCACGACACAGTAGCGTCGTCGAGTTCACACTTCCGACCTCTTGAGGCCCGTTTCGGTCCCCTGGGCCATCAAAACCTACACTAGGCAAAAAACTGGGGAAGGGGGCGAGGGGCCAGGGATCGGGAGACTCGCCAAAGCGACTCGTCAAAGGCCTGGAGAGAGGTAGAGGTAGAGGTAGGGAACGGAAGGGAGAAGACAGCGAAAGAGGAGAGAGAGGGAGGGAAGGAGGGCGATAGAAAGAGAGAGACAGAGCAAAAGTGAGACTCAAGTGCAGGAATGGTAATGGCCCAAAGCCGCACACTTCCCAAGGCGTACATATCATCCTTGCCCAAGGGCATGCTGGTATGTATCTTCTTGATCGTTGAGACCTAGCGAATACAGAGTACCTCCATGGTCGTCAAGACCTAGATAACACAGAGTGCCAGGAGAGGGAGGGAGGGAGGGTGGAAGGGAGGGAGAACAAGTGAGAAAAAGAGAGAGAGAGAGACAGAGAGAGAGAAAGAGAAAGAGAGAGAGAAAGGAAGGACACAGAAAAAGAGAGAGAAAGAGGGACACCCAAACAAGCAAACCACAAAGAGGAAGAGAGACAGACAAACAGACAGACCGACAGGCAGACAGGCAGGCAGGCAGGCAGGCAGGCAGGCAGGCAGAGCACAGTTCTATGTGTATATCTGCGAATGCACATACCAGGAAAGACGATGGGGAGAGAAAGAGAGAGAGAGAGGAAAAAGGATAGAGAGAGCGAGGGAGATACTTAGAGACAGAGAGATACAGCGATGACAGAGGACAGAGGAGAAAGCAGAGAGGAGTGAGGAGAGAGGAGAAGGGAGAGGGGAGAGAGAAGAGGGAAGATAACTAAAGAGAGAAAGACAGAGACAGAGCGAGACAGACAGACAAACAGACAGACGGACGGACGGACGGACGGACATACAGACAGACAGACAGAAAACAGACAGGCAGGCATGCAGACAGGCAGATAACAGTTGCGCATGTATAAGTAGACAACTAGGCACAGACGGAAAGGAGTACGGGAAGAGGGAGAGAGAGATAGAGAGAGAGAGAGGAAACGAGAAAGAGAGAGAGAGAGAGACAAGAGAGAGAGGAGAAAGGACATATTAGAGAGAAGGGGAGAGAGAGAAGAGGGGAGAGATAGAGAGGGAGAGGGGAGAGAGAAAGAGAGAGAGGGAGAGTGTGGATATATCTGTAAATCTATATACAGTTATAAAATACTGCGATAACGCTTCGAGACGTGCACCGTTGCCCTTCAAGGTCCGCATGCAGGTGGGATGAGGAAGAGAGAGAGAGAGAGAGAGAGAAGAAAAAAAGAGAGAGACAGAGGACGAGATGTAAGAGGAACAACAAAAATAGAAATACGAGTGTGTCCTTGCCCCGGTTCCCGTGATAGTCGTTATCCTCAGTCTGGCTTCATCCTGTCACCAAAGTTATTACACCCCTTATCGTTATCAGCCTTCCCTGGGCTATCATAACAAATGCGGCAACGATCAAAGAGGAATGGATCAGTTGATAAAGTCATGGGTCATGTCTTGTATATGTATATATATATATATATTTACATACATGCATGCATGTACGTATACATACATACATGCTTGATAATCTTGTTACATACATTCATACATACGTGCCACCACACTCACACTCATCATTCCTCATATGCATCGGGATCAAAAAATATAGTACTGCACCACCTTTGCTTGCCCAAAAAACTCTAGAGTTCTGAATCAAAGTCCAGCAGCCTGCCCGAGCCGCCCTCCGAGGAAAACATTGGCTTATAATTGCGGCACCTGCTAAACGGGGACATCAGGACGCACTCCACCCGGCAGTGTGCAAATACAGAGCAACACTTGGGGAGTCCCAAGCAAGCTCGAAACTGTGCTTTCCTTAGGTACACGAATGCGACATGCAAGCCTCTAGTTAGAGACATGACGATTGCCGCACTGATCAAAACATATCACACTTCACACTTACACTACACTATCCGCGGACGCCTCCCAGGTTCCACCTGGTGCAGCTCTTGCACCCCGTCCTGGGGCCCGGAAACGGCCCCCCGTGGCCGAAAAGGCAAAACAAATCCCCCCCGAACCTGCCCGCCAGTCCTGCTGGCTGGAACCAGTGCTGGGCCACCTCAGACCCCCAAACCCAAACGGCTCCAGCACTACACCAGACAACGACGCTTAGGCACGAAGCAGGGCTCGACGAGGAAAAGCAGACGCCGTCGCTCCGCATTGACCGCTGTCCATCCCTTCACCGTGGCTCTGCTGGCTCTCCTTCTCCTCCAGTGTATATACAAACATGTGCATATCCACATCTCCATATGTATATATGTACGCATGCATTCATACATGCACGCATGCATACAAACCTGCATGCGCACATGGACATACGCATGCATACAGACGTGCACACACACACACACACACACTCATACACACATACGCACATAATTACATACATACCTACAGGTAGACATGCATGCATGCATCTATACATACGTACATAACATCATACTCACAGTCAGACATGCCTGCATGCATGCATGTATATATACATACATGCATACATGCACACGTACGGCAATACACTCCTACGTACATATACACACCCAAACATGCATACATGCATGTATACATATAGCGTGTCAAACATGCACGAGTATATATATATATGCATACGTACATATATAAATGCATACATATATGCATATGAATGGATACACCTATATCTATACCTACATAGACACATACGCGTGCATACATACGTACAACCATACATACGTACATGCATACATGCATGCATGCATACATCATGCATGCATGCATACGTGCATACATACATGTATACCTACAAAAAGACATATAGGTAGCTTATACAAACGTACGTGCGCACATACATGCACACAAACATGTATAGATGCATGCCCGCATGCATACATACATACGCACATACGCAGATACACACATACATACATACATGCATACGTACGTACGTACGTACGTACGTACTTATGGGTGGAGTTCCCTCTCTCTCCCTCTCTGTCTCCCTCTTGGTATAAATTGTTATCGTGCCGTTTCGCCATATCTCGAACACATTCAGAACCGAATTTAGTTGTAAACAGAAATGCACAGACAAATACAAAACCAAGACACGCATGCCTATAATTATGTCTATGTAGAATGTGTGGGTATCTCCACATTCATAGGTATATATCCATATATACATATATGTGTGAGCGGTGCACGGTGAGGAACGACCCCCCCCCGGAATGGCTCGTCCTGGGGGGTTCGTGCTGGCCACACCGCCGGTGCGGGCCCGTACGAATACCCCCAAGATGCACGAAACCCCTCGGGGCGGGTGCGCCCCGATACAAAATCTCTCGGGACGCACCGCCGGTGCGGGCCAGTTCAACCCCTCGGGATGGCCCGGCCCGAACGCGCAGCCCCAGAGCGCGGGGGAGCGCCCAGGTAGTGCGTGCGAGCGTCAGGGCGGCGTCGGCGGCGGCGTCGGCGACGCCAGCGGCGGCGACGGCGACGAAGATATCCATAGATCTCGAGAGGCCCCTGGAGGCCCAGAGGTTTCTTGGAGTAGGGTTCCGGACGTCCTCGGAGGTCCATGTCGTCCCCCTCCACCTCCTTCTCCTCCTCCCCCTCCTCCCCCATTCTTCCACTTTCCTCCTTCTCCTCCTTCTCGTCCTCCTCAGGTCCTCCATCCCTCTTGTTCCGTTCGAGCATATCCCGCCATCCCCTTTGACCCATCTATCTCAGATCCGTCCGTCGATCAGTCCATCCATTCATACCTCCATTCATCCATCTAGTCCTCCCTCCAACCCCCACTTCCACGCAGCACACGCACCCCACTCCCACAAGAGCCCCCCCCCATCCCTCAGGAACCCCCCACCCCACTACTACAGGGAGGGGGGAGATCCGCCGGTGTGCCTCGTACGAACCCCCTGGGAAAGGAAAGGTGGAGAGGGGGGGGGTCCGGGTCGTCGGCGGAACCCGGTGCGGCGGTGCGCCCAGTACGAAGCCCCCCAGGAAGGCAGGGGGGGGGGTCGTGCCACGGGGAACCGCCCACATCTTTGCAGAGTCACACATCCCGACCTGCGTGCCAACACATATGGTCGCACGTATACTCCAGATTTCGGAATAAAAGGGAGGGGGTCTGGACCCTCCAAGACAAGCCATTTCAGACCTCCCCCGTGGGAGAACCCTCCAAAACATCGTCCCCAGACCCCCCAGGCCCTCCAAGATAGCCTGGAAGAGACCCCCCCCCGAAATGAGACCCCCCTCCCTTTACTACGAAATCTGGAGTACGCGAATCCGCCGCCGTGCCCGGAGGCACGAGTTGGAGTGTCTCCAGGTCCCCATCGGTCCTTCGAGTCCCTGGTCCTCAACGATAGAAGACTGAGGGGCCCGGACCCGACATTCACAAATGTGCTGGGGCTTCCCGCGTGCCGAGGCCCCCGTAGGGGGACATGCCCGACCTGAACCTAGCTTCGCTCGGACGTGTGCACTATCTTTGGCGGCGGTGCCAGCGCCAGAAATTCCGGACCACCGCCGTGGAGCATCTGGGATCATCCCCAGGAGAGCGCTTCTATGGCCGTTTTTGATGGCCGCGTCGGGCATTCATCAATGTGCCCGTCCGACTTTTCGGAGCCGAGATGGCCCCGATGCGGGCCACGAGGGCCCCAAGAGGCCCAGGGCCCATGGCCACCGAGTCGGCACAAGAGGCCCCGAGGAGGCCCAGGGAAGCTCCCAAGAAGCCTCCAAGAGGCCACCAGGAAGCTCCCAAGAGTGCCGCAAGAGACGCCCAAGAGGCATCCTCCTCCTCCTCCTCCTCCTCCTCCCTCCTCCTCCTCCTCTCGTCCTCTCTCCTCTCTCTCCTCCTCCCTCCTCCTTCCTCCTCATCCTCCTCCTCCTCCTCCTCTCGTCCTCCTCCTCCTTCTCCTCTCCTTCCTCGTCCTCGTCGTCTCCTCCTCCTCCTCCTCCTCTCCCTCTCCTCCTCCTCCTCCTCCTTCCTCCTCCTCCTCCTGCCTCCTCGTCCTTCCTCCTCCTCCTCCTCCTCCTCCTCCTCCTCTCCCGCATCCTCCTCCTCCTCCTCTCCTCGTCTCCTCCGCATCATCATCATCTTCATCATCATCATCATCATATCATCATCATCATTCATCATCTCTCATCATCATCATCATCATTTCATCATCATCATCATTCATCCAGCATCATCATCATGGGCATCATCATCATCTTCAGCATCAGCATCATCATCACCATCATCATCATCAGCATCATCATCATCAGCAGCAGCATCAGCAGCATCATCATCACCATCAGCAGCTGCATCATCAGCATCATCATCATCAGCAGCATCATCATCATTCATTCATCAGCATCAGCTCCTCATCCTCATCCTCCTCCTCCTCGTCCTCCCCCTCCTCTCCTCCGCCTCCCTCTCCTTCCTCCTCTCCTTCCTCCTCCTCTCTTCTTCTTCCTCCCTCTATCCTCCTCCTCCTCCTCCTCCTCCTCCTCCTCCTCCTCCTCCTCCTCCTCCTCCTCCTCCTCCTCCTCCCCCTCCTCCGGGGGATACACATTCCGATGGCTCGGCCAAGCTCTCGCCAAACGCTTTGCCACAGAGGCGCTTCCGAAAAAGCATGGGGCCGCGGTGATTCGCGGTAGGCGCCTTCGATCCGCCGCCCCCTACTTATATATCAAAAAGTTTTCCTGGCGTGCTGTATGTTTGAATGCGTTCGTCATTTCACCAATTCCAAATGGGGTCTCGGCCCAGCCCGCCGCCCATCTGGAAAGACCATCTCTTGAGAACGCCTCCATGACGTTGAAGATGGCCCAAGATGCCTCCAAGACAGTCTCAAGATGTTTCCAAGACGGCCCAAGATATCCTCCAGACGGCCCAAAGGCCCCCAAGACGCTCCAAGGGGGCTCTAAGAGAAACTTCCAAGAGGCCAAAATCATTGATGCCCCTGGGAATGTTCAATGGTGTGAGCGTCCTCGCAGCTTCAAGCTTCCGACGCTCCAAGACTGCTCCACAGGCCCCCAAGATCGCCCAATGACGGCCCAAGGGAGGCGGTGGGACTCGCACGCGCGGAACTCGCATGCACGGAACTCGCACGCACGGAACTCGCACACGCGGAACTCTCAGGACGCGGAACTCGCACGAGGCGGAACTCGCACGGAGAGGCACTCGCACACACGGAACTCGAACGAGGCGGAACTCGTCGGGACGGAGCTCGCAGCGCGGAACTCGCACGGACGAAACTCGCACGCATGAACTTGCTCTCGGCCTGAAGCTTCTCTGCGTACGATGTCCGCTAGTCCGAAGTTCGTCCGTGCGAATCCCGTCCGTGCGAGTCACGTCCTGTGCGAGTCACGTCCGTGCGAACTCCGTCCGTGCGAGATCCGCGCGTGCGAGCTCCGTCCGTGCGAGCTCCGTCCCGTGCGAGCTCCGCTCCGTGCGGGTCCCGCTCCGTGCGAGCTCCGCCCGTGCGGGCTGCGGCTGTGCGAGCTACACCTTCCCGCCGCTCGACAGAGGCGGGACGGACGGACGGCGGGCGAGGGGAGGGGAGTGGCGAGGTGTGTGCGCGCGCCGCACCGTGCTGGTCATACGCTGCCCGGCGCGGGCGGGCGGGCGGGCGGGCGCGCGGGCGAGCGTGCCGGCGGGCGGGAGGGCGAGCGCGCCGCGCGGGCGGGCGGCTGGGCGACCAGCCGAACAAAAACCAAGCGAGCAACCGAGCAACGGGCCAACCAGCTGGTCAACCGACTGGCCAGCGAACAACCCATCATGTCAACCAACCAGCCAGCCAACCAAGCAACGAACCGGCCAGCCCACCAAGCGAAACCGACTGGCCGACCAGACAACCAAACAAGCGCCCAACAGGCCAACCAGCCAACCAACCAGTCGGCTGGCCAGCATTTTCTGGGGATGTCTCACACGGCGGGGCTAAGAACGATTTGATCGATCTGGAACATATTGCTTAAAGCATGAAACCAAGTCCTGAAATGTTATATATGTCTTAAACTTTTCTCCAGTTTCCAAGTCTTTACCGTGCTTCTTCTGCCTCCGTCGGTCTTCTCGTCTGCACAGCCACGCTCCCCCTGGAATTCCACTCAAGGCGCGCCCCTCGGGAGCTGTGCGGTTCCAGATTCCGAAGGCGGATGATACTTCTGGAGACCTCTGGAGATCTCCAGAGGTCCGTATGAGCATCACGAGGCCCCCGCGGAGATCTACACGGGTCCAAACTGCAGAAAACATCAAGGGCACCAGATAAACTCGAATTCTTATATGACTACGTGCCGCCGTGTCCAGTGCACCGTTTGCGGGCATTCCACAATCAGCTTTCTGCTGCTGATTATTCCCGAACGTGGTTGGCTTGATATGTAGCCTCTTGTGTACGAAGCGAGCACAACGTCTGGCTTGTCGTTTGCCCAGTCCCTGTATCGACTACTGGCTGTACCGCGGTTCGTTGCGCTCTGAGGTGACTCTGCGAGTTCCTCCGCCTGTGCCTTCTTCGTGAGAGCTCCGCTGCCCGAGCGGAACCCGCACGCGCGGGACTCGCACGCGCGGAGATCGCACGAAGCGGAACTCGCGCAGCGGAACTCGCGCGGCCAGAATTCGCACGAGGCGCGGCTCGCAACTCGCACACACGCACAGAGAGATCGGCGGTGGACAAACCTCCCTTTAGTAGACCTCACCTTAGTGAAAACGGCCTGGGACCGAAACCGACGGACCTGGACCCGCAAAAACGACGGCCGCGACGCCCTCTCGCGAACCGAAAACGGCCGATTCCTCGATCGACGTGTCAGGGTAGGAGGCCTGTCCACCCCCGAAGAGAGAGCGAGAGAGAGAGAGAGAGAGACAAAGAAAAAAACAAAAAAAAAAAAAAAAAAAAAAAAAAAAATCGCACGGACGGAACTCGCACGCGTGCGAGTGCCGCCGCGCGTGGCTTCGTGGAGCGCAGTGTCCGGTGCGAGCTCTGCCTCGTGCGAGCTTCTCTCGTGCGAGCTGCGTCCGTGCGGGCTTCTCTTTCGTGGGAGGTTTCTGTGCGCGCGAAGTCCGCGCGTGCGAGCTCCGCCCCGTGCGGGTTCCGTCCCGTGCGAGTTCCGCTCCGTGCGAATTCCGCCCCGTGCAAGTTCCGGCCCGTGCGAGTTCCGCTCCGTGCGAGTCCCGCCCCCTACGGGACCTCCAGGAGGCCCGCAAGACGGCCCCAAGACGGCCCAAGAGGGTCCCAGGAGGGCCCAAGAGGCCCCCAAGACTGCTCCAAGACGGCACCATAGACCTGCAATATGGCGGCCATAAGCGCTCAAAGAGGGACCCCAGACTGACCAGAGAGGGCACCAACGGCCTCCGAAGGCAAAGAGTTCCCGTAGAGGCCCCCAGAAGCCCCCAAGAGGTTCCCATGAGGCCTCAGGAAGTCCACAGAAGGCTAACGGGCCCCCGAGAGACTCCCAGGAAGGCCCCAAGTTGGGCCCCAAGAGTGCCTCAAGAGGCCTCCTCTTCGTCCTCATCATCTTCCTCTACTTGCTCCTCCTTCTCCTTCTCCTCCTCCTCCTCCTCCTCCTCCTCCTCCTTCTCCTCCTCCTGCTGCTCATCCTCCTCCTACTCCTCCTCCTTGTTCTCCTCCCTATCCTCCTCCTCTCTCTTCCTCCCCCAGGTGTTCCCCCAAGAGGTTCCACAGCGGCTAGGGAAACTCATTGATCACTAGCTTGATCAGACTTCGGCCCAACGTTGGGCCGCATCGGCGATTCCAAAAGGTAATTAGGGAGCGGCTGTGATTCGTCGTAGGCGTCTTCGATATATATATATATATATATATATATGTATATATATATATATATGTGAGTATGTGCGGTTACGTGGAAATGCTTACATACAAATTCTGAAATACGCATGTACACACATACCTATAGAGTGCGATCACTCAAATACACTGCTTCTCTCTCGTCCCTGGCCTTCGAATCCCTACACCAAGCACACTATTTCAACTGAATTCCCGCCCATGCCGTTTCCATTGAGTCCATGGCCGCTGCCCCAAGTCGAGGTCCGCAACCCGCCATGGCGGCACCCAGAGGACCAAATCTGTTGTGCCGAGTACCTACCGGGCAGACCGGACCGAACCCACCAGGCGTTCTGGCATGCAGAACCGATTTCCTCTGGGGAGTCGAGGCGCACGCAAGCAGCGGGTGGGTCGGGTGGGTCGGGTCCAGTCCGTCGGGTAGCCATGGACTTGCGGCACCTGCCAGACAGAACTATGAGCAGAAAGCAAGAGGAGGAGGAGGAGGAAGAGGAAGAGGAGGAGGAAGAGGAAGAGGAAGAGGAGGAGGAAGAGGAAGAGGAAGAGGAGGAGGAGGAGGAAGAGGAAGAGGAGGAGGAGGAGGAGGAGGAGGAGGAGGAGGAAGATGAAGAAAGACGAAATAGAGGGAGATTTACAAAGCGCACAGAGGCAGCGGCCAGACAGTCGTACGGAGACGCGCTGCGGCGGCTCAGAAGTCCTCCCCTGGCTCGAAGAAGCTCGCGCCTGTGAGAAAAAACAAAGATACCGACACCGCTGCTCCTCGGAGCTCTCCTGAGGCGCGTTCTGACCAGGATCCTGGAGCGGATTCAGTCGTGGCGGCGAGGAACACCCAGACTGCGAATCCGACCCGACTTCTGCGCACCCCGTAGTGTGCCGCGTGCTCGGGCCGAAGCGCACAAAAACAGCTCGAAACGACTCACAACGCAAACGCCCTCGACAGCTCCAGTCATCTCGAGCGGCGCCGCTCAAGAGCGCGTGAACTGAGGCCCGCCCATCGGGGTTCAGCGCTTGTTGGTGGCCTGACATGAGAGAAGGGCATCGGCATCGGTATGGTTTCTCTTCTGAGCACCCAAGGACTCGAACCCCACCTCGATCATGCCCTGGCCCGCGTCGCCCGACCCGCGGCGGGAAACCCGGACCGCGAAGACGGGCAGCGGCCCGCAGCCGCGGCCCTGCAGCAGAGCCCCGGTGGAGAGATCGAACTGGAACTTGTGCACGGGGCACGTCACGTAGCACCTGCCGGGGGGGGAGCCAAAGAGGCCGCACGTTCCGTGTGTGATTTGCCAGGGGTGCCCTTGGCTGCGCCGCGCAGGCTTCAGCCACTGCCCGCACGCCACCGAGCCGTCGAGCTCAGCGGGCACTGCGCTCCAAGGAGGAGAGGGAGGAGGCCGAGGAGAAGGAGGATGCGGAGGCGGAGGGGGCGGAGAAGGGGGACGGGACGGGGAGGAGGGGGAGTGGGAGGAGGAGGCGGGGGAGGAGGAGGCGGGGGAGGAGGAGAAGGAGGAGGAGGCGGAGGAGGAGGAGACAAGGGGGAGGAGGGGGGGGGGGAGGTGGACGGACATGAGCCATGGCCCTCGTGGACAGTTACAATGGGATAGCCGGGCTCGGCCGACCATTGCGGCGTGGTCGTGCCACCCTGGCAGGCACTTCTGGGGCTGAGCAGCCCCCCCCCCCAGAGAAACCCCTTCCGGCGAACCCCTGCGGACCCCCTGTACTGACGACCTACCAAGCCACCCCAACCCAACCTGAAGTCGCCGTTGGGCCTGACAATTTCCAGCAGGGCGGCGTTCCCGAACGTCGAGAAAACACATTGGAACCCGCCCCCCCCCAAGTCCGACATCCAGGGGGTCTGGGACTTCCGGGTTGGGGTGGGGTGGTTTGGTAAGAACTGATGTACGGCCCAGCGCCCATGGGTGCCCCGCCGCAGGGGTGCCCCTTCTGCACCGCCGAGCACCAGCAGAAGACTCGGCCGTCCGCGGACGGTACTTCTCCGCTGGCGCAACGCGACCCCCTCCCCGCGCGCGGAGCGCGCCAGGCGCGCCGGGCGGGGGGGGCGGGCAGCACCAGAGGCGCGGCCCAGGGGGCGCGGCGAGGGGCCCGACGTTGGTGGAGAAACCTCCCGCGGGCGTCCGAGAGATCATGCTCGTGTGATTCTCTCGCTCCCTGCCTGTGGCCCTCGATCATGTCCTCCAGGTCGCCGATCTCGCCGTCCGCGAGGTTCGCGCCCTGGTGCGGGCAAGCGGCCTGCACCGCGTGCACGCGCTCGCCGAAGCGGAAGAGGGCGACCTCCTTGCCATGGATCTGGACCGTCCGGCCGGACCCACCAGGCATGCGCCTCAGCGCCTTGGTGTGCGCCATGCGCCTTTCCTACAGGAAGAAAAACTGTGCAACCATAAACTTTCGAAGGTCCGCGCGGACTTCTCCGACCGGCGCCAGGCCCCCCCTCCCTGGCGCGCGGAGTGGGCCAGGGGCGGCGCCGGAGGCGCCGCCAGGGGGCCCAGGCGCCGATCCGAGAAATCCGCGCGGACCTTCCAAGGTTTGGGTTGGTACAGATGCTTCTTTCTCTTTGGGCTTCCAGCTTTTCTGGGTCGCTGGGGTGCTGCGCCAGCTGGCGGACCCTGGCGCCGGTCGGCAGCGGCCCGTTGTCGTCGCTCGCATGCCTCTGCAGCGACCTCTTGGCAACCTCGGGCGCCGACTGGCACTCCGCCATCGCGGACCGGAACTCGTGCTGCCACACCCGCCCGTCTGGCAGCTCGTGCAGCGCTACCCCGGCGGGGAACCAGAACAGTCCCGACTCCTGGGGCAATGCCAAGGTGGGCATTTTCTTATTCACGGCGTTTGGGGGAGGGGGGGGGGGGCTCCGGACCTCTGCTTAGTGCGACTGTTTGCAGCAGGGCGTTCATCATGGGGGAGGGACCCCACCTGCCCGAAACGGGCGCCAAAAACAGCCAAGATCTACTCCATGGGGGGGGAAGGGGGGTGGGGTGCGAGGGCCCGCGCCGATCGGCAAAAGAATAAATAAAAAACACTCACAAGAACACTCCAGGGCCCACCAAGAGCGACCCCAAGCGTCCAGAGCCTCCTCGAGCTTCGCTCCTGGAACCTCGACTTCCGAACGGAGCCGGTGACCTCCGAATGTTAGGTCGGGCATGTCCTCCTACAGGCGGGGTTTGGAGGAAAATATCAACAACAACAACAACAACAACAAAAAATCGTCCCCAGACATTTCTTTAAAACTATGTTTGAACATTCCTCCTGTAGAAGGACATGCCCGACTTAACCCTAATGGTGACCCCCCTCCCAGACCCCCGAGGCAATGAACTTGTCATGACGTCGACCCCTGGAGGTCTCGAGCCATTCCCAGGGATCGGTGCTTCATCCTGGGTCGTTTTGTTGACGGCCCCGAGGTCAGGCGAGGGCGCCTGGAAGCCGAAGACGACGAGCAGTCGTGCTCTTGGGCGCCCGGAAGCCGAAAACGACGCGCAGACCACGGAAAAGAACGAGAACTCTCGCGGCTCCAGGGCGTCTGGGCCTGGCACTGCCCCATGGGCGCCGCCCGGGGCGTGGCCCGCGCCAGCCGCAGGAGGAGGAGGCGGAGGAGGCGGAGGAGGAGGAGGAGGAGGAGGCGGAGGAGGAGGAGGAGGAGGCGGAGGAGGAGGCGGAGGAGGAGGAGGAGGAGGAGGAGGAGGAGGAGGAGGAGGGTCCTCGTCCCACATGGGCGCCGCGCCTTCCCTCGCCGCCCGGGGCGTGGCCCCCGCCCCCACGTGGGCGCCGCCGCCGGCGCCGCCCCTGCCGCGGCGGAAGAGCCGCTCGACCTCCGCCTCGGACAGGGCCCTGCTGTACACGCACACCTCGGGAGGTGTGCGACACGCCGCGAGAGAGCGGGCGCCCCCGGGCTGCCGACCCCGCGGCTGCTAGAAAAAGCGGCCCGCCCGGAGAAGGAAAAAGCGACCTTCGGGGAAAGAGGCGCGGCCCGCGAGACAGTCCCACGGGCTTCTTCCCGGAAGGGCGAAGACGACTTCCCGGAGGTCGACTCCAGCATAGCAAAGCAGGGCTAGGATCGGGATAAATCGCTCCAGAGCGTTCCGGAGCGCTCTCAGAGCGTTCCGGAACGCTCTGGAGCGGCCGCGGCGCCCAATACATCTTCCAAACCCGCCGATTCTCAGAGATTTCGAGTTATCCCGATCCGATTTTGTCCCGATCTTCGCGTCGTTTTACGTGGCCCTGGCCCGGCTTCCGAGCCACGCCGTGCCCAAAAACCCGACCAGGGCCGGGACACCGTCGTCCTGCGGGACACATTGCGACGCCGGGCCCACCCGTGGGGGCCCCACGGCCCGAGAGGAGCATCGCTCCACCGCTCCCCATCCCCACCAGCGTGGGCTGGGCCCCACTGGCCGATGTGCCCCCCTAGATGGGGATTGCAGGCTGCTGTCTTCGGGTTTTGAGGGGCTCAAGATGTCACTCGTACACAATGGGTCTGTTCATCTTAGCGGTTGAGGGGCTCAAGATGTGGATGGGGATGGGGATAGGGATCGGTTGAACGATACTGACGAGGAGGAACCGGACCGCCCGTGGTGAAAAGCTTGCGACGCCAGAATCTCAGCGCACGTCGGAGACCGCCACTGCCGCGTTGTGGAACTGGTCGCCGTGGTCGCGGCCCCCCACCATCAGGCGCTCGCCCGGGTCCGAGCCCCGCCCGGCGCGGCCCTGGCAGGTGGCCCCGGCGGCGCCGTTCAGGAACGGCGTGCAGCGGCCCTCCTTTCGCCAGACCTGGAAATGGAAGGAAAATCTGCATGAGCACAAACTTTCGGAGGTCCGCACAGATGTTGCCCCTGCTTCGGGCTCTGTCGAGATTCGAGGTTCGCGGGTTCGAAGTTCGAGGTTTTCTGTCGTCTGGGTGAGTTCTCGGCGGCTTTCCAGCCTCCCGGTGCCTTCCAGCGGCTGCGCCTCGCCGAGGGCGTTCCCGGATGGGCCCGAAATCCGCCAGGACCCAGAGCTCCTGGCGTCGCATCGTTTTTGCAACGGGCGACCTTGCCCCGTTTCGAGCCCTAGGACATTCACGGACCGATCCAGCTCGAAGAATGCCGCCGAAAGACGGGACCCAGGGCTCGAGTCGAGTTCTTCTCCGATGCTCGATGTTTGTTCCGTGATGTCCCATCCCAGGGAACACTCGGAGGTCCGCGCGGATCTCCTTTGCTCGGCGCTGTGCCCCCCGAGGGCCGGCGCTGATCCACGAAGTCCGCGCGGGCCCCCGCAAGCTTGCACTACAGGGGCAGAAAGCCAAAACACCGTCAGAACACCGAAACCAGCTGCATACGGGTTGTGGCCGATGTGGCGCCCCAGGACGGCCAGACCGACCACAACCGCCACCAAAGTGCTCATGCCGAGGTCGGTGGGCTCTCCCTGGAGGGGCCCTCCCGAAGAATCCACTTCATGTTTTAGTCGTTTTACCCCCGCGGCGGAGCAAGCCTGCAGCCCTGAGCTTGTCTCGTCACCACATTTGGCAGCAACGGGAGCGTAAAACAGGAGGAGGAGGGAGGAGGAGGGAGGAGGAGGGAGGAGGAGGAGAAAGAAGGAGGAAGGAGGAGGGAGGGAGGGGAGCGGAAGAATCCACTCAGTTGTGGTTGTGGTTGTGCCAGTCTTCCTTCTCCCGAAGAGACCCCCGCGAGGTGCAGCCAGCGGCCCGCGCCTCGGGCGCGGCTGAGCAAATACTATCCGTGCCCGTGCCGCCGCGGCCTGGACTCCGAGGCGCGGTCTGGCGGTCCGAGGGGCAACGATACAGCGGATGCCAGTTCACAAGAAACCGTCCACCAGAAACCCAACCCTGAGACCCCAGGGCGTCCATCCGGTGTGGGAACGTCACGCTCTCCACAGCAGAACTGTCGAAACCCAAGAAACCCAGGGAACCCTGGAGGCAAGCAGGGTGTTTCTTGGCATGGGCCTCCACTGCAGGGGAGGACAGGCATAGGGGGGGGCGCGGAACACATCGCCTTGGAATCGGCGAACTGCCAACCGCCCCCCCCGCCCCCACTATGCCTCTCCCCCCCGATCGCAGGCAACGAAACGATAGGAGAGGACTGGCATAGGTGGGGGGGGAACATCGACCTGGAGCCGGCGATCTGCCAGCCGCCCCCCCTTTGTGCCTCTCCCCCCCCCCCGATGGCAGGCAACGATCTGGCACAAGGGGGAGGGGAACATCGACCTGGCATCGGCGATCTGCCAGCCGCCCCCCCCCCCCCCCCACGCCTCTTTCCCACCATCGTTGCCCCTGACGGTCACGCCCCGCGTGGGGCATCCCCGCAGACCCACCCTGCGTTCGTGGGATCGCGGCCGGGGATTCCAGACCGCGAGGCCGTGGATATGGGTATGCGGGCGGGCGTAAGTTCCCGACGTCGGCACTGTCCGCAAGGGCGCGAGAGCGGGGCACGCGCGAAGGTTTCGGGTTCCCCCAGTGCCCCAGACCTGGCCGAAGCCGGTAACCAAAAGGTGCCGACACCGCCGCTCCCTGGACCTCTCCCGGGCTGCGCTCTGACTAGAAGATCGAAGCGAATCTAGCCGTGGCGACGAGGGCTCTACCAGGAGACACAAAAAGGCAGAAACGAGCCAAGGCTTGCGCAATCGGTACCTTTTCCTTCTCTGAGCTCCTGCGAAACGCCGACCACGGCGTCCCCTATGTGATTTCAATCGGTCGATCGAAATTTCGACCAGCGCCCATCTATGAGAGAACGCGCGTTTCACGGGCGCTTGCCTTGGGAACGTTCGGCGGCGCGTTTCGAACCTGGGGGTGGGCCCCCCCCCCAACACTCGGCGCCGTCGATCGAAACCAAGGGGGCTCCCCTCCCCCCCAAACCCCTCTCTCCCGAACCCCCCCCCTCCCAACGGGGGGGGGAGGGGGTTCAACCCCCCCCCCCGTGCCGGCGCCGGCGGCCGCCAGCAGCGCCGACGGCGGGGACGCAGCGACGATGACCAGAAGCAGCCCTAAAGCGGAAGGGGGGTTCAACTCCCGCCCCCCTTTGCGCCCCCCTGGCACCAGCGCCGGCGCTGGCGGCGGCCAGCAGCGCCGGCGCCGGCGTCGGCAGGGACGCAGCGACGATAACCACCACTACCACCACCACCACTACCACCACCACCACAGCTTCAACCCACCACCACTACCTACCACCAACCCACCACACAACCACCACCACCACCACAGCAACCACCACCACCACAACCACCACCACCACAACTCACCATCACCACTACCACCACCACCACCACCACAAAAAGCCACCACTACTACCACCACCATCACCACCACAATCTACCACGCCGCCACCACCACCGCCACAACCACCACCAGTACCAGCAGCACAACCCACCACCACCACAAACCACCACACCACCACCACCACCACCACCACCGCCACCACCACCACCACCACCAGCACCACCACCACCATCTCCACAAACCACCGCCACCAGCACCACAACCCACCACCACCAGCACCACAAACCACCACGTGGACCACACCACCACCACTACCACCACCACCACCACAACCCATCACTACCACCACCACCACCACAAACCATCACCACACCACCATTCCACCCCAGCATCACCACCACCACCACCACCACCACCACCACCCGCCACCACAACCACCACCACCACAACAAACCACCACACCACCACCACCACAACAACCACCACCGCCACCACCACCACCGCCACCACCACCACCACCACAACCCACCACCACCACCACCACCGTCGTCCTCGTCGACGCTCCCCGCCGGCGCAGGCGCCGGCGCCGGCCCAGAAAAGGAAATCGTCGTCCCCGCCGCCAGCCGCCAGCCGAGGAGAGGGAGAGAGGAGAGGTAATGGGGGGGGGTTCGAACCCCCCCACATCCCTCTGTCACGGGAGGGGGGGGGGGGGGTCTGGTTCCAAACCCCCCCCCCTCCAAGCGACCACAGAACGCGTTCTTTTCCATCCATGTTTCTCGCCCGCGAGCGCCCGCCCTCCCCAGCTGCGAGTCCCAGTACTGGCTGGTGGTCATCGACACGTGCCCCAGCCGGAAGTCGTTGAGCGTCAGCGCCCTGCTCCAGCTGTAGTCGGGGGCCTGCGACAGCACCCAGCCTCGGGGGGGAGCCTCCTTGCGTTCAGGCGAAGATTGATTGTTAGTTTGCTTGCTTGCTTGTTTGTGCTTGTTTGTTTGATGTTTGCTTGCTTGCTTGCTTGATTGCTTGCTTGTTTGTTTGTTCGTTTGTTTGTTTGTGTGTGTTGTTTGTTTGTTCGTTTGTCTGGTTGTTTGTTTGTTTGTTTGTTTGTGTTGTTTGTTTGTTTGTTTGTTTGTCTGTTTGTTTGTTTGTTTGTTTGTTTGATTGGTTGTGTGTTTGTGTGGTTGTTTGTTTGATTGGTTGTGTGTTTGATTGTTTGTTTGTTTGATTGCTTGTTTGCTTGATTGCTTGCTTGTTTGTTTGTTTGTTTGTGTTTGTTTGTTTGGTTGTTTGTGTGTTTGTTTGTTTGTTTGTGTGATTGCTTGCTTGTTTGCAAGCTTGTTTAACTGTGTGTTCGTTTGCTTGTGTGTTTGTTTGTTTGTTTGTTTGTTTGTTTGTTTGTGTGTTTGTTTGTTTGTTTGTGTGTGTGTTTGTTTGTTTGTTTGTTTGTTTGTTTGTGTGTGTGTGTGTGTGTTTGTTTGTTTGTTTGTTTGGTTGGTTGGTTGTTTGTTTGTTTGTGTGTTTGTTTGTTTGTGTGTTTGTTTGTTTGTGTGTTTGTGTGTTTGTGTGCGTGTTTGCGTGGTTCCCTGGTGGCTTGTTTGTTTGTGTGTTTGGGAGGAGGAGGAGGAGGAGGAGGAGGAGGAAGGGAGTGCAGGAGGAGGAGGAGGGAGGAGGAGGAGAGGAAGGGAGGAGGAGGAGGAGGAGGAGGAGGGAAGGGGAGGAGGAGGAAGGGAGGAGGAGGAGGAGGAGAGGAGGAGGAGGAGGAGGAGGTGGAGGAGGAGGTGGAGGAAAGGAGGAGGAGAGTAGGAGGAGGAGGAGGAGGAGGAGGGGAGGAGAGGGGAAGGGGGAGGAGGAGGAAGGGAGGAGGAGGAGGAGCGCGGTGCGCGGCGCGCGGCCATCGCTGCTCGACCCAACGACGCGGCAGCCGCAGGGCGAGCCGAGAAGCCGCCGCGCGAAACACAAGGGGCCCACGAGCCGGCCGTGCGACGGGCAGGCCCGTGCGGCATCCGTGGCCGAACTCCTCGCCTTCCTCCTCCTCCTCCTCCCCATCCTCATCTACTCCTCCTCCTCCTCCTCATCACCTCTCTTCTCCCCCCCTCCTCCTCCTCCTCCTCCTCCTCCTCCTCCTCCTCCTCCTCCTCCTCCTCCTCCTCTGCCTCCTCCGCCTTCACGTCGAGTCGCTTGCGAACAGTCTCAGGGCCGGGGTTGGAGAGTGAAGGCGCACCACCACCACCACTCTGGACGCCCGAAATGGGTAGTGAAAGAATGGGTACAATGCCCAACAACAATTCCTGCTCATTTCGAACAGGAGTCGCTGTCCACGCCGCCGCGGCCTGTGTCCACTCGAGACAGAAGGCCGCCTGCCCAACAGCGGCCGCTGTTGGCTTGGGACAACATTTGTTGCTGGGCATAGTGCCCATTCTTTCCGTACCCATTTCGGGCGTCCAAATCCCTGCCTCCCTCTCGCCATCGCTCGGACGTCCATTTCCCGTGTATTTTGTCGGTTTCGTGCGTGTTTTTTTTTTGTTTGTTGCTCGATGGTCCAGGAGGGTCCTCGATGGTCCCCTCGCAGAGGAAAGAAGGCACGCGTCCGAGCGATGCCAGGCCCTCTCGGACTGCCTACCAGACCACACCCAAACCCAACCCGAAGACCCGAATTTGAACCCGAATTTCGGGTTGGGGGGGTACGGGTTCCATGTGTCTTTTCAGTGTTCCCCGACCCCCCCCCCCACTGGA